CATGGTGCTGCTGCTCTCCAAATCATGGCTTCGCCAGCAACAATGCATGCATCCAGCACGTGGCCAGCAGATGCACGCATCAACAAAAACCAGCATAGCTGGAGTTCAGGGGAGCTCAGGCCAGTACCTGAGCACGCTTACAGCCGAATACCCGGCAAGTCTTGCAGCAAGTTTGATCAAACATTGCGCATTCAAAGTGAGCACGCAGCCCGAGGTCCGCCGCTTAAGCAAACCCTCCCCGCTTTCACTGCGCCCCGTGCGCCTGCGGGTATGCGACGGAGCTGGCATGCAGACAACTGCAGACCACCCAATCAAACCACCCGCTCACCATAGTCGCTCGGGCCTGCTGCATTGGCTAAACGAAAAAAACTCATCCCAAAAATTCTGGCCCATGTGGGCTCCGGCAACGCATCCCCTCCTCTCTCGGAACAGCAATCCGAGGAGGCAGCACGAATAGCATTCCGCGCCATGAGCATGCCGTGCCCATCCGAGCTTGCGCCCGATGAAGGACAGCCGTACCGCCTATCACTTTTGCATGCCCTAGCGACGGCATCCAATGACCCCGACCTCAAACTAGTGCCGCTGCTGGCAGAAGGCGTGCCAACAGGGGCGGTGTCGGAGTTGCCGCGCAGCATGCGGCCGCCAAAACCCCAGGCAGACCACCTGCCTAGTGAACTCACCGAGTGCATCGGCAACTGGAAAGCCGCTGAAGCGGAACCAGAAACAGTGTCCGCCTTGCTAGAAAAAGAAATTGCAAACGGATGGGTCATCCGTACCAGCATGTCCATCGAACAAGCCAGACAGCATTGGCATAAAGGCATAGCAGTCGGGAAGCTCAACGTCGTGCATGCTGAAGGCAAAGACCCGCGACTAGTCTTAGACAGCACTGTGTGTGGGGTGAACCCCAAATGCACAATTCCCGAACGCATCAGCCTGCCAATGGCCTCAGACGTGCGCTTAGCCTTCCTCCCCGAGGACACGCACTCGTCCTTTGTGGGGGCAAGCTTTGATTTCAAAGCAGCGCATAAGCAGATCCAGGTGCACCCCAGTGAACATGGCCTGCTTTTGTTTCGGGTTGCCAATGTCCTGTACCATTATAGAGTGTGCCACTTCGGAGCACGCTTCTCTGCATACTGGTGGCAGCGCACCGGAGCATTCCTCCTGAGACTACTGCACGGCATTTTGGGACTGCACCCGCATCGCGCATGGTTGTTCGTAGATGACCTTTTAGCCGCACTGCGTCGCAATGGCGCAGACTCGCAGCTGGCCCTCATGGTCATGTTTTTTGCAGCCATATCGGCCCCGATCTCCTGGAAAAAAGTTCAATTTCAGGACAACCTCACGTGGTGCGGGTGGCGCATTAATTTCCTGCACGAGACCATCGAACTCACGCCGGAAAAAACCATCAAATTGAAAGGACAGTTGCACGAGCTGCTCAAAGCAGGAAAGGTCAAGCGCAAACTCCTAGAGCAGGTTCTAGGACTTCTCATTTGGGCTACCAGCCTGAGCCCCGAACTCAGATCCTGGCTAGCGCCATTGTACACAGACCTGCACTCGCCGCCGGGTTGCATGCTCTCTGTCCATGCGCGTTTATGGCCATCTTTCCTGTCAGCATTAGACGCCAAAGCCGTGCTCAAATCAGCAGTGCATGGCATTTTTATGCCGCTAGGCTCTAAAGTTCTAGAGTTCCAAGGGGCATGCATTCGCACGCCAGCCGACCTGCCTCGCGTTGTGCCTAGCCACAAGTCCGCTTGGGTGCGCATAGCGGACGCCTCCGCAGAGCACACTCGCCTGTCCAAGATGAGCAAACACAGCGTAGAATGGCTGCTGCAATGCTTCCATCTCGACCTCGCATGCCCGCTGAGAAGCAAACCAATGCTGGCTTGCAAAGCCGCCGCGGATGCATGCGCCGAGGGCAGTATAGTAGGCATAGGAGGTTGGTTCATCTCCCGCAACTCCGTTGCGTGGTTCGCAGAGACATGGCAATTCCAAGAAGTCCAGGAACAATGGCCATGCCTGACCAAAGAAGCCCAGCGTTACATCGCATGCTTCGAAACCTTGGCCCAACTAGCACTCATGCGGATCGCGTGGTCCTGCGAGGGACAAGGCGTGCATGGCATTTGCATGCCCACAGGAACAGATAACACAGCTTCCGAAGCCGGTGTTAATAAGCTGTTCACCACTTCTTGGCCCTTGCAAGTCTTTGTGCAACTTGTTGCTGCCTGGGCCCATAAGCACAAATGGTCCGTGATCGCGTCACACATCCCAGGGGAGCACAACATCTGGGCAGACCAGCTGAGCAGAGGTAATACCTCCGCTTTCGATGCTCGACCAGAAGCCAGAGTGCGCTTCAGGCCGCATGATTTCTGGCCTCACGCATCAGCTCTCACACTTCACCCTGCGGACGCACCGTGGAGACCCGAGCACGTGGCTGCTGCGCAAACGCACTAAAGAGGGGGTAAGGTGATTTGACCGTTTGCTTAGAACTCTAAAGTGGGGGTATTCCGACAGGCTCCGCATGAGATGCAGGAAGATGGAGTGGACGCGCATCGTCACTCCACCTGCATCTCTGAGCCTGCACTTCTAAGCAACGCTCAAGTAAAAAAGCGCGTATCGAGTTTGCTCCGGTCGGTTGCTTTTTTCCCTGCATGTCCCTTTAGGCTTGAAGCAGTGACCAAGATTCTAACGCTAGGGGTTTGTCTTTTCCCCTGTGTTTTAATCTTGGTTGAATCTTCGGCCGCGTGCCATTTCTGCTTCCTTTTGGTAACACATGCCTGGAGGGTTTGACCCCTCTTTCGTTCTTTTTTGAACCCACCCTCCCACCCTTTCACGGCCCAGGTGGCATGCAGCCTCCACAAGGCCTGATAGAGGGACGCATGCAGCCGCATGAATGGAAGCTGGTCAGCTCCCAACATTTCGTCGGCTTACTGCATCTCGATACTCCCGCAGGACCATTTCGAGCATACGCAGCGAGGCCCACGCAGTGCACGCAAGCGCACATTGACGAATGCCATCGGCATTCTGCCGGCCCGGACCGGCCCCCTGCAGGAGGACGCATCCTCCCATGCACACTCATGCACGCATTGCATACATGTGCAGCATACCTCTTTTTCGTCTCACACCCCACGGGTAAAACACCCTGTGTGATGGTCGAACACGCAATGTTGACCTCAGGAGGGGGTATTCCGACAGGCTCCGCATGAGATGCAGGAAAATGGAGTGGACGCGCATCGTCACTCCACCTGCATCTCTGAGCCTGCACTTCTAAGCAACGCTCAAGTAAAAAGCGCGTATCGAGTTTGCTCCGGTCGGTTGCTTTTTTCCCTGCATGTCCCTTTAGGCTTGAAGCAGTGACCAAGATTCTAACAGCCCAGCATCAACCCCCCAACCACCTGCCTCTTATTTGGACGAATCCAGGCCGGCGTCCTCCACATCACCTGTCGCACCCTCAGCATCCTTGTTGGGCAAGCCTGGGCGGGTTCGGTTTTTTTTTCAAGTACTGGTTCGCCCAACGGGTCTGGGGTTTTTGCCTTAGTACTGGTCTGCCCAACGGGTCTGGGAGGGGGCTGTTTCTTTTTTTAAAATAAGTTTTTGTAAAGTACTGGTCTGCTCAACGGGTCTGGAGGGATTCGTTTTTTTTAAAGTACTGGTTCGCCCAACGGGTCTGGGAGGGGGGGCTGGGTTTTTTTAAGTACTGGTTCGCCCAACGGCTTTGCTTTAAGTACTCGCTCGCCCAACGGGTTGGGGGGGGATTCGTTTTTTTTTTTTTTTTAGTAACGCCGCGTAGCATCGCCGCATTTGTGAAGCTCAGTGTTTCTCACAGAGGCGCATCCAGCAGTGCGCCAACCCCGGATTTGCACAACTTGAGCCAGCGCAAGGCCTCCCCGCCTGCGACAAACAGGGCAAGGCATTCAAGACACCCAGCCAACAGGAATGCTCCAAGTACGAGGCACAACCCTTGCAGGCATTTGGGAGCGCAGACTTTACGCTCCCATGCAACTCTAACTCCTGAAGGGAGTGGCAGGGCCTCTTTGCGCTCCCTTGGGTGGCGCGGCGCTGTGAAAGCTTTCACTAAAGGGTTTACCAGCAATTCGGACAGTGTCTCGATTTGTCCAATACGCGCGAACCACGACATGGCCTTGAGCATTGGCTTGGGCGAGATGCGCACACTGCATTCACACGAATGCATGAGGTCGGCCATATGTTCAAGCCTGATGTCTGCCACCGGATCTCTAGCGAACGCACAAAATTGAGGAAGGCACGTATGCACCGGAAGTATTGGGCCAAAGTAGACGGAGCGAAGGCTCTCAAAGATGCTTCATACGAGTGCAAAGCGCAGAACTGCGGCCCAGGCTAGAAAGCAACTCCTGCCATTTGAGCAGGCATTTGCAAAAGAAGCTGCACGTTGTCCGTCAGATGGCTTCTTTATTGTGACATGTCCTTGATAGGCTTGACCTGCACCTCTGAGCACTGCCGGGAAAAATGCTGAATGTTTTTCTGCGTCGGTCACTTCCTTCTATTGCATGCGTGTCTTAGGCTTGAAGCAGTGAGCAGGTTTCTATCCAGATGGACAACATCTTTTTTCAACCTTTGCATGGGAAATCAAGAAGGAACAATCTCTACTGTAAAGGGACAGAGGACAGCCAAACATCAACTGTTTGGTTTTGTTTGGCTATCCGCATTGTACAGACAGTCTTGTTGTCAAATAATATCGTTACCACATTGGCATGCGGTGTGTTCTCATCACAGAGATGCCGACGGCCGCGTTTGCATTCATGGGGAGGCTTGCCTGTCCTGGAAACATGGCAAGAATCACACAGAGTGCTACCAGAAGTATGTTCTTGTCTTTATCGCATATTTTCCCGTTTTTGGCTTCTTGCTCTGTCAGCTTTGTCAGAGGCCTTAAACAATTTGCCGGCCAAAACACTCTTACTGTTGCAAGGCCTGGTTTCTGAACAAATATGGTGCCTGTGACGCAGCGACATGGTGCAGCATTGCGCAGCATTTTGCAGTTTCAAGAAAACGCCAGCAATTCGGACTTGCTTTGGACAATGGAGATCTTGGGAGTCAAGTCCCAATGTTTCGGTCCCGAGCAGCTGGGCATGATGGTTTGCCTTCCATGCCAAAGCCAAGAGCCAAGGGTGCTCGATCTCTTCAACAGGGATCTCTCCTAAACGGTTCTTTGTTTCTTTGGTGCACTCCGATGGTTTCCAAGGGTGCGGCATGGTTTGGGCCTAGAGGAGCAATTAGAAGTCTTTGAGGTCAAAAGGCGGTGCCAGCCTTGCAAGGAAGCTGTGCTTCATCCATGCAGACCACGCCGGTGGCGTGTCTGCGCTGAGCTATGGCCAGCTTCAAAAGTTCGTGGCGTTTTGGCCGATAGGTTGGCAGCTTTTTGTTGTGGGTTGCTACGCGATCAGATCCACATGTTTGTAGGGGTTGATTCCCCATTCTTTTGAACTATCGTTCTTTTCAAAAACCAGCTGTTTCCCAGGGTTTTGGGTGGTTTTGTGGAAAGAAGGATGCCTGGAAAGAATGGGGAGGGTTCCCCTAGAATGTTAAACAGAGTGCAACTCCAAAAGGAAACAAGCCCCTCCCCCCAGCACAAAAGCGACCCTCGTTTCGCATCCACCGGAGGTATAGGATTCCAGAGTTGCCATTGTGTGGAAGCAGTTGACCGTTTCAACCAGCTGGCTGAAGAATGCCTCGTGTCAAGCCCTATGTTGAACCTTGGAGCCATTTAGCGGACTGCTTGAGCCGCATGCAACCCGTGAAACATCTGAGTGTGTATCACACTCAGGATCGCTATAGAAGTGGATTTGCGGTGAGTCTATGAGGATCCTTTGTGAACTCCACTATCGGGGCCTGGCATGTTCAATCTATATGGGGCAGGTCTGCTTACTTTTTTGGAATATCCCTGTTTGCTCTATGAGGCTCCCGGCTCGTCCCAAGTTTTGTCGAGTGAAAACTCAGGACTGCTACTCTCGGGACCTCTCCGAGCTTACCAACTTCCAGCATCTCAGCGGAGGGGCTGAGGGGCTCTTTGCTCGGCGAGCAACTAACAAAACTACAGGTAGTCGCTTGATAGTTTGGGAGGGCGAGAAGGGGGGGTCGCCCAAATGCCTCATTGTCCTTGTGGGCAGAAAGTATTCGTTTGGGGATCATAGCGTCCACTAACGTCCACTAATTGGTTTATTAATGAATTGAAAATCATACATATTTCCTCTCTTGGTAGTTTAGAATATCACCTTTCCAAAGATAGGGAACCCGGAGGAGGCACCAACGGAAGCTGAGACGCGTATCTTCACGTTGATGGAGCCGGACGAAGTGAGGTCCATGGAAGTCCATATTTTCTCTTGCAGACTCTCTGGTGTTTCTTTTGTGAATCACGGGACCTGTTGATGTTTCCAGCCGTTTATCATGAATCGCGGGGCCTTTTCGCTTGGAAACGTGCTTGAGCTTTCGCGGAGGCGCCTTCGCGTGGGCCTGGCCTTCCCCTTGCCGGCGCCCCTTGAATACTTGATCGCCCTGCTGGGCACAGCCGCTGCGCGCCCTGGCGCTTTGGGCTCTCCCCAGCCTTTGCTGTGTGGGCAACTAGCCAGATCTAGCAAGCAACGCAAAGTCCATGTTTCCCAAGTCATCTTGTGCCTTCCCCGAAAGTTGAAAAAGGGCAACAAGGTCACTGGTATCAGTGCCAGCATCAGCTGGTAGGAACCGGGATGACTCACATTGACATCCCAAATGAGCAAGGTCATGGCTCCTGGGAAACAGAGCCACCATGAACCTCTTGCCATCTGGATGTGTTGCCTTGTTGAGGTTGTCTAGGGAAAGCCAGGCTGACACCATCCCAAAACGGGGGTTCCATCGCCCACAGACATACTTTCTTGAATGGGTTTCCAACCATCTTGACTTACATACTGACTTTGGTCCAACGTCCCCCCTTTCGGCCACAACCGGGGGAGAATCTTGACATGTACAAGCTGGCAGTGGGAAACCCCTGAAAACTGGTGAAGCCCCGCTTTGTGCAGGTGCTGAGGGTAGCATGGCGGGACATTTGCCACAGGCCTCTTTTCTTTCTGACAGGGTCGGAGCTGCCCAAGCATGGAAGTGCAGAAGCCCCTTTTGGAGGACGACTCTCCTTTCATGGATCCGTGCACAGGTTGGGTGGCACAGTTAGGGCACGTTTGAATCTGCCAAGGTGTTGATCAACTTGCTGGAGCCAACTTTCAACCTTTCCTGTCATCCTTCACTGGTTCTCCCCAGACTTCCAACCCTTTCCTCCCGTCAAGGTCACCAAGTTTTCTCCTCTCCGCGGACCAGTCTGCACTGGAGGCGCTGTGTGGCCATGCCGCTGAACGTCCACACGGAGTACCTGACACTGCGGGAGCTGGACGCTGCGCTAGTCCACGCGGGGAACCCCAAGTGAAGAGCAACCTGAGCCGTTTCCAGAAGGACGCGAAAGGTTTGCTTTTTGCATTGCCTTGGGCAACTGCTGAAGCGTTTCCAAGTTTGGACATGTTTGGCCCCAAGCGCTGTGTATTGAAATCGCTACGCGATCCGCCGACGCCAGTGGACAGTCCCCTGCTAATAAACTGGGGCTGATCAATCTGGAGTCAGCGCTGGCTGAAGGGACTGACGTCGGCTGCAAGGTACCTTGAGTTTGGGGTAAGGAAAGAGACTCTTTTTTTGCCTAGGTCAAGTGGGGCTCTTAGCGCGTGGAAGGAGAACGCAAACAACCGCAGAGTCTCGAATTTGGGGCCGGGAACAAGATGTTGTTTATGTGTCCTATGTGTCTAGGTCACATCGGGCTCTTAATGCGTGGAAGGAGAACACAAACAGCGCCCCTCTGACGTCGGCTGCAGGGTGCCTCGAATTTGGGGCAGGGAAAAAGACGTTTTTTTGCCTAGGTCATATGGGGCCCTTAACAAGCGAAAAGAGACCAAACGACGCCCTTTTGACGTTGGCTGCTGGGTACCTCAAGTTTTGGAAAAGATGGTTTTTGCCTCGTAACATGGGGCTCTTAACGAGAACACAAACAACGCCGCTCTGACTTCGTCCGCAGGGCTGAACACGTGACAGGAGAAGAACACTGGGGTCTACTCTTTAAACCGCCCCCCGAAGCGGTATAAAAGTAAGGCCCCTAATTTTTGGTAAGTACTTGGCACTTTCCCGTTTTTCATGTCCCAGATGCTGAGGATGCTGGAAATGCAAGGGATGCAACCACACAGCTTACAGGAACAGACCCAATCTTCGCGCTCAAGATTTTAAGACTTTCAGACACGGCTAGCCACACAAAAGTGCAAACAAACCAGGGTTTTTCGATATTTCCCAAAAGCAACCATCAAAAACTGATATTAGCAACCCCCCTCAAACATACCCTAAAAAGAGACTTTCAAAAGCACGATAGTGCAGGGGATGTTTCTCAGTAACTGCTCCGTACAGGCGGGGAATTGCAAAAAAATCTCATTTTTGCAGATTTCAACGGTTCCTCAAAGTATCACTGCACTTGGCCCCACCCAAACCCCTAACAGGCCAATTCCAACATCGCTTGAAACAGCAAAACACCACTAATATCTGCAAAAAAAGGAGACAAATTCATGGCAACAAGATAATCCAGATGATGCTGAGGATGCAGATCCTGAGCGTCCGGGGGAACCCCCTTAGAGACCTACGCGGCGAAACGCAGATTTTTTAGCACGAAAGACCCAAACATACAGGGTATTGGACACCTAGCGCAGCATGCCCAAAAAATAGCAGTCCCAAAAGCCTTCGGCTTTGATAAGAGATTCCGAAGGAAGACCAAGTTGCGGACTGCCATCTACACGCTCGACTGGCGTCGGCGGAGTGTGCGCCTTAGCATGATGCGCTGCTCTGAGCCTCTCTGATGAGATAACAGCACATTCGCGTGTGGACATTCCGAATCCTGCATTTCAGCACATTCTACACCAACGTGTTTTCTGATGCAATGGTGTGTGTTGCCGATCCACTCTATATATCAACGTTGAACCATTCTGAGAAATCTAAACTCGGCTGTACATCTTGGCCTGTCATGGTGCGGCAGGGATTGTGAGGACAGGTTCAAAGCAACGTTTTTCATTGTATCACAAGTTTATCACCTGCGCTTTTCTGCCTTTGTTCACATGGATCGATCACTCGTAAACTAGTTGTGCCAAAATGTTTATTGGTTTCCATCGGTGTCTTTAGTTTTCATTGGTTCTGGCTAATTCTCGCTGTTCTCACGTGACCCCGCCATCTTCAAACCAGCGCGTGCGTGCATAAAACTTGAGCCCGCTTTTTGATTCTCCTCCCAAGGAGTCTTTTACTGGAAATCCGGCCGGGGTTTAAGTAGAGACCCAAGATTGGATCCCCGCAAGGTTCAGGTGCTCTTTTGCCCGGAGCTCGACGGCTTGGACCAGCACAGCGCAGATGCAGCCCGGGGCCCCAGGAAGCTGGACTTTTTTTTCTTCTTCCTCCGTGTTGGTTCTGTGTGACGAGTGTTGCTGCAACTCAAGTGACTGCAGCGCAATGTGCAACACCATGCCAATTTGATGTCACAGTGAGCTGTGACCCTCATAATTCCTTTTGTATTTGATGGCTTCAATCCCAGCATTTTTCATGCCTTCTTAGTGCTAGTAGGCTCTGATGGCTCACCATGGCAACACCCCAGGTCTGTGACAGCTACGTCAAGGGTCGGTTCTGGTAGAGAGATCAGATGGTTGCCGATGGTCTTTTTCCAGGACTTTGAGGGACTCCCCAGTGTGTGTGAGTGTGTGTGCGCGTGTAGGTGTGTTGGGGGCTGCTCAGAGCAGCTTACGATTTCAAGAAAAAGGGAGGAATCATGTGCCACCTCTGCCTGTTATGTGCTTCAGTGAACCGACCTGCGTTGATCGTATTGCAGGGATCCTTCCTCATATAGGTATGCTTATTGTGTAGGCCAGCGGCAGTGGTTGGTGCTCGCTGAGTGCTCTGCCTTTCGCCCTGTCCTGCAAGATCAAATCAGGTTCGTCACCAGGCTCGTATGTTCATTGATGTGCCAAGAGTACACCTCCGGACGGCTTGCTTCAGATTAGTTTCTGCTGAACCATCAGCCTTGTTTCATTGCCGAAACCTGCGCCTGCGCGTCAAAAAGCGGTGGCAAAGCGCCCTGGCCGCTTCTCAGGTTAGGCGTTTCACGCAGTCCGCGGAAAGACAAGGCGCGCAAAGCAGTGAGTCCTTGACTCGTTTGCAAAGTGACAGCATTTCACGAGGTTCTCAAAGTTACTTCGGGTGTGGGAAGCTTTTTGAGTCATTATATTTGTGGGTACTTCTGAGGATGTCTCTTTTATAAACCCAGTACTTGCTGGACTTATTGCTGCTCTCTTGCAGATTCCCCCTAAAAGCCCATGCATTCTTGGGAGGAATCTCCTGTTGGACTTGGGCCCCCGTTTTGGGATCCATGTTCATTGCAGTACACACACACACACACTGGTACCCTTACTCCCGTTCAGTGGAGTCATGCAAAGATGAGTTGTATCCTCAGAAGTCGGGATGGGATGGGACTCTTGACGCCGACCCGCTTTGAAAGCAGCACCCGATAGTCTTTGAAAGCCGCACTAAGAGATGCCGCAAGTGAGCAAGCGGTGAGGCGGATTCATGCCTGAAGCGTTTTTTCATGGCTGCTTGAGGTGCTGGTTGGGTCTTGTGTGCTTTTTGGTCACGGTATTATGCAAATTACATGTCACACGCTCTTTGGATTTCCTTCACAATCGTGTGAAGCGGCCGAGAAAATGCTGGCGCAGAGGGCCAGTTCTCTCCAATGCTGGTAGCAGCTGGTAGCCGCTTCCCTTCGGTACAACGACGATGTGGGTATGTTCAATTTGTCCCTTACCGTCTCAAGGGAAATTTTTGGTGATGGAGATACGGGGCAAGGCGGAAAAGCAAGTGGCCTCGCCCCTGGATTTCCTTCGCTTGCCAGTGGCCAGGTATCCCCATTTGCCGACTGTCGCTGAACGCTGGCGCCTTGAAGATCCGGCATGAGGACACAACCCTGCTGCCTTGGGACCATTGGACCACCTCCTTGTTGAAATCTCCGATTTTCCTTTAAAGGGACAGAAAGGTTGCGGACCGTTCCGTACTATATGCCCAAAGCGCCCATTAGGGACAGGCTCAGCCTAGCATGATGCCTAATAGTACTGGAAACCATCTTCGCCTGGCCAATTCGTTTGGGCCGGGAGGAGCTTGACACGAGCCGTTGGGATTCCAAGACGCTGGGTGAGGAGGCGCTCTGGGGTGAGCACCTGGCAGACTGTCGGCTTGGGCAGGGCCACCCTCCCAAGCTTCCGAAAACGGCCTCCAAATTCTTGGGGAGCACGCCATTTTGCTGTGGCTCACATCTTTGAGCCGCTCCCTTCGACGGTCCCAGGTTTACCATTGAAGATTCTCAACTTCAAAGATTGGCAAGGGGTCAAGGTATTGGTATGGTGTTTGTGTCAATCCTGGCTCTTAAGGTTTTGAGTGCTTGGATTCTCGTTTGGTGGCCCGCTCCGATAGGCGGTGCTTCTTCTGCAGACCTCTGGCAGCACTGGGAAGCCCAAGGCTATCCCGCTCACCAGGCGAGACGAGTGGTTGCATTTTTAAATTTTCAGAGCTTCTCAACATTCGGGGGCTGGGAGAAGCAGCGTCAATTCACCAGGTTCCAGAAAGTTTCCAGAATCTGGGGTTGACTTCTTGCCGAGTGATGGCCAAAGACTGGCAGGCAGAACGTGTCCTCCGCAGTCGACTCGGTGATCCACGCGTATGGCCTGACGGAGCAGGATGTGTCAGGGTCCTAGGCAGAGCACTTGTCGAAAACTCGAATGCAATGACAGACCGCACCATCTCGAATCTCGAATGCCTCGAATGCGCTGTGCCAAACTCTGAGGACGTACATATCCCAACCCATGGTCACCGTGGGCGGATTGGTGACGCCTCTGCTGTCAACTTTGGTTTCTGGCGGAACCGTAGTGTATTCGAAGTTCAACGCCGCCAAGCACTGGGAGGTCTGGATTGGGTTCTATGGGTCCCCTCCAAAAAGACCCTGGGCAGGTAATTGCTAAGTATGGCGTCACCTGGTATACGGCGGTGCCGGAGATGCACAAGCAGATTATCGAGAGCCAGAATGGCCGTGCTCCTCGCCTGCATGTGTGCTTTGTGGACAGGAGCCAGGAACAGGCGTTAGACAACCAACACGTGCGCAATGTCCTCTCAAGTTTTCCTCCCAAGATTTATTGAACCCTGCACATGTTGTAACTCGTGGCCAACGTTGGCTAGTCCCAGCCAGGCTCCGTAAGCGGAACTTGCTCCGAATCAGGTGATAGCTTGTTCGGGAATGGTCACGCAGGCCGATCCCAAGTCTAGTGGACGCATCAGTCACGGTGCTACACAACCCGGAAGGACCCGAAAGGCTATCTCAATCGGTTGCCCCATCGCAAGACCTTGGCATGTGTCCAATCTGGGACCCCTTCCGGGCTGGTTGCTCGAAACGGGGGAAGCGGTGGCCACTTGAGGTCTATTAGAACCTTGCACCGGCTTGTGTGGGACTCAAACCTTATGCGTTTTTGTCGATCCTCTGTGTTTTGGGCGTACCTTCCACGGGCGAACCAAGGGCGCCACAGCTTGACGAGTTGCTCAGAATGGTGGACATTGGTGGACCATATTGATAGTTCTCTTTTTGAGGGATGTCAAAAGGAAACGCAATCTAGCGGACACGATTTTGAGAAAAGACTGGGTGTGTGATCCCCAGTCCCGGCGCCGGTGCGAGCACACTGTGCGCTTCATTCGCAACGGCAGCGGGTGCCTGCCGCAGGTGGGGGCCCGGAGGGGGGGGGGATCTGGCTGGTCACGCTGAAGCCTTCGAAAGGGCTGGATTTCGGCACAAAGATACCACGGATGGAGAGCGCTGTGGAGATCTTTCAAGTGGACGTGACTCTTGCAATTGGGCGGGGTCCAGAACTCTCATAGCGATAAATGGAGGGTTGCGGAACGTACTTGATCGGCACCTGGGTTTGTAACTAGCAACCCTCTCAATGGGTTTTCTTTTAGAATTGGAAGCAAACCCGAAGATGTACTTTCAAACGGCACCCTCCTGGGCCTAGATCGTTTACTCGTTGCCATGTTCATTCATCCAACAGGCACGATTCCCATTGAGTGCGAAGGAGTGTCATGAATTTGGTTCATGTCACTTTGGCGGAGATGTCCTTTGGTCAGCAAGCAGACCCACAAACCGTGAGACAATCCTGGTATTTCACACCCATCAGATACCCATGATAAGCCCAGAGCATAACGATCACCTGTGTCACATGCCGCTAGGATTTCACAGAATATCGCAAAAGGTTGAGTTTGGCGCGGGTCGAGGCCTTTGTGGACGCCCTGCAGCGGCTCTTCGACACAAAGGTTGTGGTGGCCTATGGCATGACGGAGGCAGCGGGCCAGGCAGAAGGTGGATTGGTTTTCCTTTAAGCCAGCCCCAGAATTGGGTACCATCAAACAAGAGACACCCATGTGCTGCCTTGAGCGCCGTGCTGTTTTTGAAGAAGCGTACTGTACAAAAAACACTCATCGTACATTGTCTTTGACCTTTTTGGGTGAGATGCTTCATCTCTGACATGGTGGGTCTCCTTTGAAGGATTCCTACCGCCCTAAACATGGAATTGGGGACGAGGGGATTTCATGTATTTATAATTCTGATTTTTGTGGGAAAGGCTAGAACATAAAATTGGGCATATGAAGCAGCTTCTGGGCTTTGATCAAGGACTCAGCTGGTGATTTGTTGCAGTGCTCTCAATCAGCAAATGGCTTGCATGCTTTGGCGAGCACTTCCATCTTAAATCGTGGGAATTTGCTAAGAGGGCCACAGGCAAACGTTTGCGCGGGCTCTCTCGCATTTGGATTAAGGCGATTAAGGTGCTACACTAATCCGCTCGGGCAATTACAGGGGAAGTAACACACTTCTGGCTGCTCTTGGCCAAGTTGACCTGTGGGAAATGGACATGTATTTGGGTATGTCTCAAAGGTGTACTGTTGATTTCTGTTCAAACTGCCATGCACAAATTGGTTGCTCACTTTTTGGACAAGCTCATTTTCGAGAGCTGCGCCTTTTGAACGAACAGGCATTGACCAATCCTTTGGTTCCTCCGGTCATAGGCCACCCAGCTGGTGTGTGCCAACCCCCTGGACGCGCCCAAGCCGAACTCGGCGGCTTGGAGCGTGTTGGGCTGGGGCGACCAAGATGGGCGGAGTCCAAGGGAGCCAGTGTGACAGCTTGTGTCTTGTCAAACATGCGCTCGGCTCAAACTTTACGATTTGTTGCATGCAGGTTGGGGGGCCTTGCAGAGTAATTCGACCTTCTGACGGATACCAGTTGCACGCTGCAAAAAGTCAAGCCCTTGACTGGTGGCGCGGTTGTCTCTCTGCAAGGTGGGCACCCCTGCCAAGAACATCCGCCTCGGCCTGTTCGACAACCTCAGTGCTGTGGCCCCGCAAGAGAACGGCGACGCTCAGCCAAACTGAGAAGCGGTTCACTGGGAGAAATGTGGCAGGGCTCAAGATACAATTTAGCTTGAACCATAGCCTTGGAGGCCAAAAGGAGACCATTTCGGGGGCATACAAGAACCTCCATTAGTGGAGCTGGATTAGTCGGGTGGATACCTTGAAGGCCATCGGCCATCCAAAGCCCAAAACGGACATCGGATGCGTTGGGCTCCCAGGAGATCTGCATCTCGGGGCCGGGGCCTGAGAACTCCGGGCAGGCACTGGGAAAACAGCCCTAAGTCCCTAAGTTGGTTGGAAGGACATGGGTTGTTTCTGACAGAGAGGTTGCCTGAAAGAACTTGCAATGGCCAACAAAAGTAAAACTACTTCTAGCAACAAGCAAAACGCTGATGCGTGCGCACCCCTTACCCATCCCTGCCCACACAACCCCCACACCTCCACACCCCCCACGCCATCACACCCCTATACCCACCCCCACACAACCACCGCCACACGCACATGCACATGCAGATGAACATGCAGATGCACATGCACAGACATGCACATGCACATGCAAAGGGACTCAGGAGGTAGTTGAATTGTTAAACCGACAGGCCTGCCACTAAACCTCCAAAGACAACTTGCCTTTGACCAGCTGCATTTGGCAGCTTTCGCAGGTCCTCCGTCTTCGAGGCGTACTGGGGTCCTGGTATGGAGGAGGTGAACCATTTAGCCTTCTTCACGGACGTGCAGGGCACGCGCTGGTACCGCACCGGCGACATCGGGTGGCAAGACCAGGATGGCTACGTCTTCCTTGTGGGCCGCGCGAACAACATGATGAAGCGCCTCGCCAAAGCGCTTTTTCCTCCGGGATTGGATGAGGAAGTGTTTTTAAGTTCTAAGTCTAAAGCGACCTTATAATGGTGTTCTTTCACGGTCTACCACGAAAAGACACGGTCGCATCGTGAAAGGCCGGCGATTAAGGGCCGCAAGGACAATCCAGCAACAGCTGCTGCAAAAAATGAGGCCGCAAAAGGCTGGCGATGAGCAATTTCCTTTTGCCTTGAGGGTTTTTCATGGGATGCCCGGTTTTTCTCTGTTGTCTGAGGATCAATGGGTACAAGGTCTTCCCGGAGCGTTTAGAGCAGGAGCTGGAGAAGAAGTACCCCTCCCTTCGTTTCGCGCTGGTGCAAAAGGAGGAGTCTTTGGCCTTGATGGTCCAGAGCCGGAAAGGCCGCCACGGAAGAAATAGAGAAAAGAGCTCGACTGAGGCCAACTGAGAAGAACAAAATGCAAAGAGAGCTGGTTTAGACTAGTTGAGTTGAAGGGCGAGTGGCACGACGCTGGAATTGCAGATGAAAAGTCAACAGCTGGGGGCACTCCCTTGCTGTCCATACCAGCAACTTTGAAATTGTATCACTTCGAAGGGGCCTGCTTTGAGATGAACACACAACTTCCTTCGCTGAGGCCTCTTTCCTTCGCTTTCGTAGGCTATGGTCTCCGGCTGTCTACTGCGAGCTGTTTGGTCGCCACCACCTTGCCAAGTCAAAGTGGAAACTTCGAACTCTCCCCAGATCCTTCTTTGCCAAAAACTGCCAAACTCCAAGGAGCAGCCACAGGCTGTTGACAACACTTGCCGTCGAACATGTTGGGATTCACCTCATTCAGACTCTAACCAAAGATCCCTTAGGGCCTTTCTCAAAACGGGGAACTTTCCGGAAACGGGTTGTTTTTTTTGTGGTTTCCCTTTCAACACATCCAGAGCCTCCATGACCCGAAATGCGCGCAGGTGAGGTGGAGGTGGACATGGCAAGCCTTTGCCGGCAGCTGGCGGAGCTGTGCCGCTTTGGGGTCTCCTTCCCGCTGCCCAAGAACGCCTATTTGGTGGCCCCGGGGCCACTGGGCGCGAGTCAGGGAGACTGGCAGGTTCGGCTAACTGGGATCGTCGGTGCAGCACATGTGCTTTTGTTGGGCTCGGTACCCTTTTTGGGGGTTGCCAAAAGGAGAAGCACATTTTGATCGCGGTGGATAGCCCGGACTCCAAGTTTGACTTGGATTTTCTCAAGTTGCCGGGGCCGCATGCAGAGAACTGGTATGTGGAGAGGCAGCCTGCCTCTTGTTTTCTGATGCACCGACACAGGGGGAATTGAACCATAAGGCGTGTTGCGTCAAGCAGTTGTAGTTCCAATCGATGCATTGCAGCACAACAGGTGCGTGACGAAAACGTGGGCTACGGATCATACCACGTGCACATCTTCTATGGCAGATTCTATGGTAGTATATAGGCAGAGGAAACACTCCTTTGCTGTGGCCCCATCCAGATGGGCGAGTGCATCCGATGCCTTTCAGGGCCAAAACCACGCGCTGTTTTGCCTTTGGTGCGCTTCGCAGGCCTCATAGTCCTTGTTTACTGAGATGATGAACATGTGAAGGGGTTCAGTCGGATTGCTATCTTTTCACCTTTGCTGCCAGCAATTCTTTCCCGGATCCCAGAGTCAAAAATGGCAAGTCCAGAGGGCTCTCACCCGTGGGCTCTCCCCGAATTGTATTTCTCCGTTGCTCTTCATGGGCTATATGGTTGAAGGGGAAATCTTCGGAGCTCCCCCCTCAGCGGTGCGAGATCAGTGCGGCGAGGTCCAGCTTCCTCACAAAGTCCAGCAGCAAGATTGATCGCAAGCAAGCTGCCGCCTTGTCTCAGGAGCGAGTGGCGAGAGCAATACGATATCTTATTGTTTCTGCCGACTCGTCACTTGTCTGTCTTTTCAGACATTTTCCCACGCACCTTACTACGGCAATCAGGTATCGTCGATATCGTCGATATCGTCTTCAAGCCCCGTATCAACATGGAAGACATGCTTGCCCGACTTGCCAAATTTAGTCTGCTGCCTTGTGTATGCATGCATTGTCAGCTTTAGCATCAGGTATGTATTCAAAGACTGTTTCGGGTCAACGCAATACTTGGGTCTGGTGGAGTGGATTTGACATAACGGACGAGGATTTGTATTTGTTTTTACAGCCTCATTTTGAGCAGCTTGCTATGTGCTTACAGTTGTCGAGCCGTGCATCTCCCTTCAAATCCTTGAGACTTTGGCAACCCTCCAAACCGTGGACACTTTCAGTACAGCCGCGCAAACCAGCCCAAATTCCCCACCAGCCTTCAATCGTATACGGGGGCAGGCTGCATGCCTTTTGCGGTGTGTGATTTTTTCTGTAGAATGGACAAGGACACAAACAATGATCCTTCTCCTCACCACATCCGAGATCCTGCAGACTGTTGGTACATTCGCCAGGCTGTCCCCAGGCCCTCCCCCATTTTCATGAGCCGGGATGAGAGGCGGGTATATAGCATCTCACAGCCCAGGACTGCACGCCCTTGTTGGAGAGTAGTTCCCTGCACTGGATTATCTGCTCAGATATAACTGCCCGTCCTTAGAATAGACTCCACTCCGCTTGATGCAGGGAGGTGGCATCGTGCTTGACTTTGCAAAGCACGTGCACCTGAAAGGAAAAGAACAGGTACTGTAGTTGATGTGAACAAGTCGGGTTGACAAGAGAAACTTCAACCGCAGGAGCCCGAGCACGTGACATGCTTTCACGTCTTGGACTACGCCCTTTTTGGCAGCGAGTGCGACGAGAACAAGAGACGCCCTCAGTGCTTTGCGTTCATTGCATTCGGATCAAGTGCCATGGTCACAAAACATCACGCGGGTTTCGTTTGGACAGTCTTTGAGCTACGTACATTTCCTCCGCAAGCCACTCCTTTTACACAGCGTAAAGTTCTGGACTTCCCGGAGCCGCTTTTCCCGTTCCTGAATTCCCCCACTCGCTCCGTGCCAAATGCACGCGGTTTGGGCGGCGCGCCAAACACGTCAGGCCGAAGACCTGGTGGCTGCAGCTGGCGGCCCGGCTGCTGCAGGGCCTTTGCGGAGCGATCATCTCCCCGGAGGAACGGCTGCAGGAGCTGGCCCTCACGTCACTCCAGGATCGAAGGGGACAGGGAGGGCTCCGGACGATTGCGAAGCTTGCCACGCAGTTTATTTTCCCACCTGTATTGTCGCAATTCCCCATAGAAGCCGCTTTCGACATATTTTCTTTTTGACCTCCTCTTGTCTTGAGAGTTGGTGTTCGGCTGCATGGGTTGCATATGCCGTGGGTGGGGGTGATATTTACAGGGGAGGTGTCGGGAACCGTGGAGGTGGGTGGTGATGTGCGGGCATGTCTGACTGAACAGGCCGTGAATGAGGGTGAAGTACTGTAGGTGGGGGCAGCAAGTTGAGAGATAGTGCAAGGTTGCCCTTCTGGCTGAATTTTGTATGTATGTGCATATCGATTCTCCCTGCCATTGTTTGACGCATGTGTCTTTGATCATCTAATTCGGGGCGGTCCACTGGCAGCCCGGCAAGTCAACCAATCGTTGTCGAGGTCGAACAGTTATGCTTGGTCTGCAACTCTGGCATGCCGTTTTACCCGCGTTGCCATGGAGCCTCTGACCTCAGGTCATGGCGTTCACCAACATGATGAACGTCTACACTGAGGCTTTGGACACCAGGCTGCAGGTGAGCCAAGTTCTGCAAGCCGCCTCGCTCCAGGAGGGGTGGGAGGGTTAGGGGTCAGGGTTTGCAAACAGGAAACAAGACAGGACGAGGACCCCCCGCGTGAATGTGCCAAGTGTGGGTGGTGTTTGCTTGACCATATGGGAGATTTAGACGTATATAGTGTTTGTGGTCGCCGGGCAAGAGTTAACAGGGTTTTCTGAGTTGAATCATTTGTCAAGAGGGAATTCAGGGGTGTGAGCCAAAAGAGAATTGCCCTGGACAGTTTGGGGTGCGCTGCATCAGGAATGGATACTGACTTGTTACTGGACATGCAGCCCCCGTGTAGTTCTGATGTCTACCACAGAGTCCCCAGATACTTATCCACATGGGGGGTGACGTGGGTTTGTCTCAAGCGGGAGGAACAAAGTGTGTGCCTTCCTTTTGGCTTCCCTTCCAACATCTCAACATGGGGGACCCCAAAATGGGCAGTTTCATTCTGTTTTTTGTTAGGCAAGCCAACAAGAGTACCATTAAAAAGAGAACCACCCACTCATGATCGACCCCTAAAAAAACATTCACCATTTTCAAAACGAGCCACACCCACTGTGTGGTCAGGGTTTCAGCTTGCTCCAGGAGCTAGTCGACGGGTTCCTGGGAAAGGGCGCATCCTTTTCGCTACTGGGGCCCGCACGGCGGGTGGCGCGGAGCAGAACGGCAGGAGACACAAAGCATTCCACGGGGGTGGATCTGAGTGAAGGTCAGCAGGGCACAGTCCTGGCCATACATAGCGGCACGCCTCTAAACAACAAGATTGATTTCTTTTTAGCTGATCTGGGCTTGCTCAGCCCAAGCACGCTGAGGCCCAGGGCCTCAACACTGGAGACTGGCAAGCCTACGAAATGTGCCAAACGTAGGAACAAACAAAATGCAACGCCCGAGGAAAAACACCATGACTGTTTCACTTCAACCCCCGTCTCTCGCTCATTTGAGTATGTCTCAACATTAGGAACATCATCCAGGTGGTTGGTTTCCTTTCGATGTTTCGAGAAATAACATTTTTCAGATTGCTACCTCAGGAGCTGTGCTGAAGATCACCCCAGAGGAGGAAGAGGTGGTTCAGATCATGGGAGCCTCGGCTTTGCTTTGCTTTGCTCCGCTGAGCAGTTGGTTTTGGTTGTTTTTTGAAGCGCCGGACGCCTTATTAATTCTCCCTTAGCAATCATGAGAGAGATCTCAATGGTTAAGACTAAGGCCGCTTGTTTCCAATGATTTTGTCGGAGGCTCGAACCCGTTCATTCGAATCGACACACGAGGTGTGTCCTGCCGCTTTCCGGGGCACAGCAACAACCTGGACGCCTTCGTGCAGCTGTTGCTGGACCAGCGCTGCGGCATTGTCGAACGCAAAGACTGGCACAACGAAAGGCACTTTCAGCGGCAAGAGTATGAGTGGCCAAGGGAGTTTTTGGAAGTTTGAAGCCAGCGGGCTCACCATATTTCCCTGTCCTGACTCACCGGGTCATGCCAGATCAGGTACTTTTGCTCTCCCTCTCTCTCTCTCTCTCCCCATCGTTTCCTTGATTCCTTGAGGTATCCAGAGATTGCCCACGTTGGTCTGATCGAGGGCAAGGAGCTCTTCGACCGGACTCTCTTTGGGATCTCTTCGCTGGAGGCCAGCTACATGGATACCCAGCAGCTTGCAGTGCTGGAAGGCCTGGCAGAAAGGGCAGTGGCCACCCCGAATAGCTCCCGGCCCTATCTGACAGAAAGGAAGTTGTGTTTCACATGCGCAGGCAGCCGCAGGCAGCCGCAGGCAATGACTTTTTTGCTTTGGGTTTGCTTCGTCGAGGCACAGCTCAGCCTTGGCCGGTGGCAAAGGTGGCAGGTTTTTCGTTTACTGAATGGGACAGAGCTTTGACGAGCTTTGTTCGGGACTCGCACATTACGTCCTTGGTAGGCAGCCGTATTCTCTCCATGACTCAAGAGGCAGGGAGGAACTGAGATTGGGGATCACTGTTGTGGCCTGACCAGCAGAATGGGAATGGCGCAAGAGGCGCTGAGAGGCTGCGAGTCTCTCATCAATGCCTCGCAGGCGTCTACGAAGCCGTGCTCAACAGCAAGACGCAGGTGTCCAGAAAGGCCCGCGGGAACGAGGATAAGGTGGGATGGCCGGATATAGCTCCAAAAGCATGCGCAGAGAAGCACGAAGACAGGGGCCCAGGTTTCCTGGCGCAAGTCTTGTCCCATGCTTGTACTTGTTTGAGCCACCGGACTGGAAACCGCAGCTCAGACTTGTTTGGCACTGCTTTGCCTAGTTTTTGTTCTTGCAGGAGCCGGCTGGCGACAACAAATTGAAGCTTTGTTTGGTGGGCTTTTTTGCAAAGTGAGTTGAAATCTGTCAAGGATTTGTCCATACTTCTGTTGTTGAGGTCACCTTTTTGCCCGGTTTTCAGTCCTGTTTGAGTTGTGCATGTGAGCTGAGAAACATAGTGGTCTTCATGATTCCTTTTGTGGGGTGGTTTAAACATCACCTCTTGGGCTGAATCTGTTCGAATGGACACAGAGACCCAAGCCAGCCAAACAGAAGTTACTGTCTTCAAGATGCTTTCCACCGCAGTGGCTGCATATCTTAAGCCAATTGCGGGGTAATGGTCTGGGGGTCCCGTCGGCGACGCAGGACGTGCCCGTGGTGGTGGCAGTGAGCCACGCGGACGCGGAGATCAGCTTTTACAGCAGTCCACCGAACCACGTGCCGCCGCACATCCGGGCGTACAAGGCCCTCTCGGCCATCGCCGGGCCACGAGGCAAGAAAAAGGGGAGATGGTATTCTGGACAAACTCCTGCACCATTTGGGCGGTTGATCCATGTTTATCCAGGGTTTGCATCCCAACCGAGGCGCGTCAGCCAGCTCATGGACCTGCGGGGCCCCAGCTTCTGTGTGGACGCCGCCTGCGGGTCCTCCATGGTGGCGCTGCATGAGCCGCCCGGTGTTGACGGGGAAGTTGTGGCATTTGGATATTTGGATGTTCTTTTAATATTGCCGGAACAGTGGCAGTTGTGGGAACCCACTTTCCAGGCGGAACCCAGCAACCCCTGGAATCAAGGAAGTCTGGCTTAGCTTTCAAGTCGGGAGGTCAGGTTCCTTTAGGCTCCTGTAAGTTGTTGAAACGCATCTAAGTACCAGCCAATCAATCGGCTTGCAGCATCCAGAGAATTGATGATTGGACTCCCTGCAAGCACCTTTCGGGAATCTGCGCACTTTGAAGCCTTGCAGCGTTGACACCCCAGTTGCCAGATGACCAAAAGCAAGCTTCCGTTCACTGGTACGAGCCCTGGGTGGAACACAATGCTTGGACGACAACGGCTTCTCAGGGAGGATCCTTATCCGAAGCAATCACCTGCCGCCGATACGCAGAGTTCAGCATAGCGCCTGTCTGTCGTTGCTTTTGACAGGGGCAGCCGTTTTTGCACCAATCTATGTGGAAGGTTTCATGCTGAAAGCGGATGACATTGGAGACATGTTGTTTGTTTTGTGTGTGTGATGTAGAGTGTCCCGCCAGTTCGAGGTCTTCATGCACACTCAGCCGAGATTTCGGGTTTGCGTGCCAGCCGCTCCAAGAGCTTCTTCCCTTTGTGTCTCTTAGAGTGGGTGTTTTCAGAGTTCTCAAAATTTCAAGAGTTGCCTTGGCTTACCATGAAGAGAGTAAGATTGGGGAGTGTCACTTTAACGAACCCTGTATCCTTGGGCTGAAACTTGCAGGTCGTCCCGTATGCTGCGCAGCAGCAACAGCAAGCTGGCCATTGCCACGGCGGTCAATCACATCAGCAGCATGAACGTCTCCGTGTCCATGGCTCCTTGGGCCAAACTTCGTCTCATAAGGAAAAAACAACCTCAACCCCGCTGTGGTTCCTTTCGTTTACTTGGTCCCCCCTCCCCTTTTTGCGGGTGAAACGCCCTTACAGTTTTTTATTCTTCTGTTGAGTGACCAAGTCGATGACCCAATTCCCCAATTTATATGGCTCAGTCCCCTTTACTTACCCGCAAACAATAGCAATTCCTGCCAGGAGGAAGCCCATTGTTTTGGGACACACACACACACACACCCAGACCCAAATGCCCTACACCTGGCAGGCGCCCAGCGGGCTGCTCTCGAAGACGGGGCGCTGCCACACCTGGGACGCCGCGGCGGATGGCTTCGTGCGGGGCGAGGGCAGCGCCGCCTTGCTGCTGGCGCCTTGGCTTGCGAACAGGTGTCGTTGTCAAAGCAGGGGCCTCCCCCCTCCCCAAACAAAGAAAAGAAGAAGAGCAGAAAGTGTGTTTTGTTAGTTTCCTTTCTTGCCAGCCTTGAAACGGGTACCCTCAAAAAAGTACAGAAATAGGGGCCTAGAAAAACCTAAGGCCCAAGAAGAAGGGGGCTGCAAGATTGACCCCAAACGGTTGTTGAGAGTAGGAGGCTGCAACTTGGGCTGTGCTTGGTAAGGCTACGAGACAACAAATCTAAACATGGAGCATGTGGGCGTGTGCCAAATTTGAGGACCTTGCTAACAATGTCCTTTGCTGTTTCCCTTTACGACAATGACAATGCTGTCAATCAAAACTTGACACAGGACAACTGAGCAGTGCGGGTTTGATGCTAAGCCAGCGCAGGATGCTCAAGAACCTGCACTATAAGTTATCTCTTTTCCCCTGCACTGATTTAATGACCGTCCACTTTCTGCCATTCATGGCCTGAGTGTATCCAAGGGAGGGCTACCCCTGTTGACAACCTTTCCCGTAAGTTGTTGGTGAACTCAGACTTGCAACGGCTGACAAACTTTTGGAAGCGATTACTGGGATGGGCCATGACTGCCGGCTCGCTTCTGCCCTTGGCACAACCCCCAAGTTGTCACTCTCATGGGCCCTGGACCGAGCCAGCTCCGAGTTGATGGATTTGCAGGCAAAAATATCCGAACGGCTGCCTCCGACCCCAAGCTTTGAACTCCCGTGAGCCAGTTCAGCAAAGGCGGCATTTCTTCCGTTCAGGAGGGGCAGGCGCTCTGGCGCAGGCGAAGCGTTTCAACACGATCTGTTTTCCAAGCCAAGCCATGCCCAGCCAAGCACTTCGCATCTCTGTATCCTCAGGCCCTGGACTCCGTCGACAAGTCATCCTATGGCTGCTCTGGCAATGTACATTTTCAAGACTGGGTTCCTCAAAATGAACATTCTGAGAGGTTCTCAAAATTGCTTTTGGGTGCGGTTTCCATTTTCTCGCCCGTGCGCACCTCCGCACGCAAGACTCACTTGGTTCATGTCCGTCTTTCAGCCAGTTGAGACAGGTCAGCTCCGCTACAGCTTGGTCAAGCACAACGGCCGGACTTCCCATCTGACGCTCCTGGTTTGAACAGATGTTCAAAGGCACAAGTCTTCCCGTGTCACAAGTCTTCCCGGGTCACACTGAGGAGACCCTGTTCTTTGGTGTGGACGCCATTCTACGGCTTTTTTGGCGCCACTGTCAAAGTTGCATGCTGACCTCTAGCGAGTGCTCTTCCGCCTCCCGGCCCAGGTTTCCTGATCGCAAGGCTGAAGCCGAGCTCATGCATGAATGCATGCAAGCTGCTGGCATTGCCGTTGGAGAAGTTGATTACGCACCTTTGCTGCATGGGAGCCGGGCCCTAGGTCGTTTGGTTGCAAGTGGCTTTCTATGCAAGTCTTTTGTTGAGATATCGGTGGACAGCAAGCAACCCCCAAACTGCTATGGGTGCGTACACTCGACCACTTTGTCTCGTCCTTTGTTTTCTTGGAAGCAACCGTTTCAAACGGCTTTTGGTACCTAGGCTAAGAAACAAAACCGAAAGCCGGAGGTGGAGGCGCACGGCACGGGCACCGTCATCGGAGACGCCACGGAGGCGCAGGCGCTGCAGGACGTCTTCGCTCGGCGGGCGCTGGCCGGGGCCAGCCCGCTGCGCGTGGGCTCCGTGAAGGCGCAAGCGGGCGGCTTCGCGGGTCTAGGGGCCGTCTATTTGGGTGTTGTTTTCGATTTTCCCCTCTTCTCATTTTTCCCCTCGTATATTTTTGGTGCGTGCGTGCATGCGTGCGTGCGTGCGTGCCTGCATGCGTGCGTGCGTGCGTGCGTGCCTGCGTGCGTGCGTGCGTGCGTGCGTGCGTGCGTGCGTGTGTGTGTGTGTGTGTGTGTGTGTGTGTGTGTGTGTGTGTGTTCGCAGGCTTGCTTTTTTCGTAGCGGGGTGCTCAGGAATGGGCCCAACAACAACAGTCGCACAGTTTTGAGGTTTCCACGGGACGGCTTAGTGCGGTCCCGGTGGTACCTGGGGGGATTTGAACTTACGCTGTCCGAGCAACTAACCGTTACTCAATACCACCGCCTGGCCCAACAACAACAAACGGGCGATGTTTGAAACTCACGTGTGCTTTTTGTTGCTTTTCAATTTCCCTTTAAATACCAACCAAAAGGGAGTCCACCATTTTGAGGATCACCTTTATCCCGCTGGTTGATTAATCCCTTATGCAGCTTGTTGATTCATCCGGGGTCGACATTGCGTGAGCCCCAAGTTTCCTTTTTGATTCTAATTGAACGCAACCAAAGAAAAGTGCCCCTTCAAAACGCACACACTGGAAATGGGTGGAATAGAAGGGACAGGGGGGAGAAGGGGAAAGGGGGAAGGGCGACCGGGAAGGGGGGAAGGGGAAGGGGGAAGGGGGAAGGGGGGATTGCTATTTGCTGTTCCTTGGTAGAAGTATGTATATATAATATATATATATATATATATATATATGCAATCCCCCTGATGGATCTACATTTTTGTTGTTTGAAGGCTAGTTTGGAGATGGAACGCAGTTCTTTTGATTGGAATGCCTCATCCGACTTGACCAGCATCAGCTTACTCGAAGCAAGGAAGTCTTCTTCCAAGTCGAATTTGAAATAGCAAATCCAACTATGTGTTTTTGTTTGAAAAGGAAGTCGTATTTAAATTATCTTTAGAAATAAAAATTCTACTAGAAGTATTATCTTGTTAGATTCCAGTTAGTTCTAAATATAAAGTGGAGAAACATTATCCCGGGAAATGGCGTTGTCTATTTTTTGAAGTTTCAACCATGTTATTCAACATGGAGATCCTATTCAAATCATCTTTAAGTCTAGAAATTATATTCGGTGTTGTTCACTTTGAACTATGTTTATATAAATTATGAGTATAAAATTGAGCAAATCATGTGAAAAGACATTCTTTTGGGCATCTAGTTTGAACCAATAATTCCAATCATTAGAAACAGTCTTGAACAAACTGTGTAAATTATGTTTAAAACTAGAAATACTATTGGAGGTATGTCCTTATTGAATTATGTTGAACATATGCCAAACAATCAACCCTGCTCCTTATACAATTCCAATTCAATTCCAATTAGAGAATTTGAACAAACACAATCCTAGAAACAGATCCTCCTTTAAAATCATCTTTCAAGTCTATGTTGAGACAAGCATTCTATGTGAATGTTTAATTACTCATCGAATACCTTGAATTCAAGCAAAGAAACAGTAAACAAGCAAAACAACAGTGAGTTTATTTCGACAAGAAGACATGTTTCCAATGAAATTCATTGAGCAAGCTATTCCAAGACAAGTTCGATCCCTATAAACGTGAGTCAACAAACCCCAAACCCTACGCCCTAAACCTATCCATTCTAAGCTGAGGTTTAGTACAAAACAGCAGCTTTGTTTGGAGCCAACGGCCCAAACCTGAAGACACAAAGAAGTAAAACTACGGAACCAATAGCCCAAAAGTAAAAGCGTAAAGTTCTGGCGCCAATGACCCAACAGCAAAAACAAAAGCACCAATCTGGAGCTAATAAACCAAATTAATATATATATATATATATGTATATATATATATATGTGAAATCAGAACAGTAAAAAAGTAAAGAAGCAAAGCAAGTCAGCCCATGGTCCTGAAGTAAAACGCTTTGACCATGGACTGACATGTTTTACTTTGTTACTTTTTTTTTTGCTCCAGAACTTTATGCTTTCACTGTTGGGCCAATGGCTCCAACATAGCTGTTGTTTAATGAACAAACCTCAGCTTAGAAATAGGACAGAGGTAGATCCGAACCGACTGGATTCAAGATTCACTGGAACAGTTTGCCTAAAGCTTTCAGACTGTCTTCACCCTGCAGCTTCAACTCCGACCCTGCAGTTTCTGACAAGAGGAAAGCAACATTTCTTTGGAGGCTAAGCATAACCTGTCCGTTTACGATTTCCAGGCCAACGTGGGCCACCTGGAGGCGTCCGCCGGCATGGCCGGGATCTTCAGCGTGCTTGGGCGCATTAGGGAAAGTGCTTTCGTTCCACAAGCGAGTGACACACAGACATGGCATTTGTGGCCTTCAGCAAGACACCTGCTTCAAAATTATCTCCAAATTGTGCGATTCAGCCAGCTTGTGTAACAACATGCTTAACCCCCCAAAATAGTACAGTTTCACCAACCTCATTTGCGTTTGTTGGCGCAGCACCTGCTGGATCAGCCACACAGACTTGGCGGATTTAATAAGTTCCCCCTCAGCATCCAATCTGTTCCCTCAACGGTCGTTTGGTGCTTGGCGCCTCGTGTCAGAACAAGTCGGTACTTGATCGTTAATTGCCCCAAACAGGGCACCCTCAAACACGAACACCCATATCTTGCTGGGTGTCAATTGATTGGGCGTGGTGACTCACTTGTTGTTTGTTGGCAACGCTCAGCATCACGTTCGAGGCTGAGGGACATCCAATATGCGAGATTTCCTTTGGACTTATCGAAGCTTGCAAGAGTTGCCACAAGCTACTAGAGGTTTGCATGTTGATGGCACTTGGCCCAACCAGGATCCATGTAGAAGGCATAAGACACTAGCATCCTTCCCTTCTGGGCCCCCCGTTACCCAGCCGGCCCTGTTGGTCCCAACTATGACAGCGCCTTTGCCTTCAGGACGCTCAAGAGACAATGGCTCCAGTTCCTGGGCTCGCGCGTGCGAGCGCTCGCTGCCATGTCCTGTATCGGCCATCGGCCTAGGTGCTGTGCGTGCTTCGCCGGGGACGGGTCTTTGCCAACGCCGAGCTGAAGGAGTTTAACCCGTACATCTGCGACGGTAGTGGCCGCTAGCGCGGCAATAGGGTTGGGGGCCTTTTGCTTGAGGGCACAAAGGCCCGTAGCCTTTTCTTCTTTTCAACCATGGTCTAGCCATGTCGACCAGTCACAGCACCGGGTTTCCAGGTGGCAGCAGTCCGGCCTTGGACTTCCCTATCGAATCTGTGGCGCTGAACGAGAAGCTAGTGGCCGGATGCAGCTTGGACCTGGACTTGTTAATCCTCCCTGAAACGAGAAGCCCCTCTTTGATGGATGGGTTTTTAGAGCGCAAATCCAGGTCAAGCTGGGGCAATCCTGAATTTGTGACTGTTGGAACATCAGCTTGTGAGATGTTGTTTTCGTTTGGGACGCGCTGTTGCTGGGACTCAGCTGGTATGACGTCCACTAAACCACCTTGGCCAATCATTGGGGCCCAGAACGGTTCGCAGTTCGGGGGTGTTTGGTCGTTGCGTCGTTGCCAGGTAACTCCTTCGGCTTCGCCGGCACCATCGGCACAGCGCTGCTCGCGGCGCCTTCGGAGCCCCCCATCGACGCAGAGCCAGCCGCGGCGACTTCGCGGCGGGTGGCCTTCGTGGTGTCGCTGACGCCGCTGCCGCCCCAGCCGGAGCTGCAGGCAAGTTGCAGAGGTTTCCTGTTTGGCAATTTTTGCCACTGGAAACTGGAAACCTGCCACACTCGTTGGGTCACCCGTTAGCGCAGACCAACCTGCAGCTCTCTGAACGTGCTCTGCCGATCGCCAAAGGCCGAATCGGTGCAACTGCCCTGCTCCACTACCCTGTGATGGTTCTAAGGGGGGAACACCCTCAAACATGGTGGAGTGCTTCCAATCGTTTGGGTAGTTGGGACCTCTTGTCCACCGAAGCTTTCGTTCATAGAATTGAAGTTGCCTTTTTGGTTTGTTGTTTGTAAGGGAAACCCATTTGCTGGGTGTCCACGGTTGTGGGAAATAGGCTGCGGCGTTGTTCTCCCTCAGGAAAAAGACACGTGATGCATGCCCGACACGAAGAGACTGCAACAAAGCAGGCTAGTTCCTCTCGTGCACATGTCCCAGTCCCTCACGAACTGGAAAAGCATGACAGCACAGCAATAACAATTGGAACGCCGGAAATGCAACACACACGCACACACACACACACACACTCACATCAACTTTCTGTGACACCAAGGGAATTCCCTTTGGAGTGAGAAAATGGTCATGGGAAAACTATTGGTGTCACGGAAAGCATGATGCACAGTCATACCCATACCCTTTTGCGACAACAGATTGTTTCCTTGTGGCTTCCCTTCAAACGTGCCCCAAATGGGTAGACACCCGCAAAAAGAGACGGCCCCCTGACCGTTAAAGCTCCATATTCTTTGAGACGGCGCACGGCGCTCGTGCCGCGTGGACGAGGAGCTGGCGGCTCCCATGGATTGCCGCAGCTTCCAGGAGGCCATGGCGCACGTGGCACAGAAGGTGCCGCTGCTCGAGGAGGTGAAGGCGAGGGTCCGGACCGCCGGACAGCCGGACAGCCGGACGGGCTGGCTAGGACGGAGATTTCAGGAAAGAGTCCCATGGTTCGAGCCAAATGATTTCCAGTGCATTGGACGAAATAGTGAACATGTGGGTGAAATGGGTTTCAAATAGGATCCAGTGGTTTGAAACGACAGGGGGGGAAATGCCCCTTTGTCCACATAGAACCTGACTGGCGGTTTTCATCAATCTGGCTTGTTCGATGTTAGCCATTTCCCTGAAGGTGCATGAGGAATATGTATGGGCCGTATGGGTTCACCAACAGGAGCGCACGTTGTTCTGCATGTAGACTTTGGTGGACAATGAGCACGAAGCCCATTCCCAAAGGTGGCAATCGCCACCATTGTCCCTGCGAGGCAAGGATCAAGACAAATCAGGCACAGCTGTTCATGTGATTGTTCAGATCTTGGCAAGCGTGGCAGTGCTTCACTGGGCAATGTGCACTCTCGCGCCCTCAGGCTTTGACTGCAAGCGTGTAATGCACACAACTGTGGGCACACCTTCAAGTGTTCCCTGATTGCGCGCACGGCAACGCATGCCATCTGGCACTGTGGGTGTACAAAACTAGTCGCAAAGCGAAATGTTGGCATCAAACATGATGGCTGGGTCAATATTATTGCTGGTTTGCTTCAAGAAGGCAACAACTCAGAAGTATGCGCTTGAATCTACAGTAATTGGCATGCCTACAACTGACATACATTTTTTTTCTCGCTCAAAAGCACCGGAATTCGGGTTTTTGCTTTTGTTGCCCACGCGCAGAATTGCTACAGATAGCCTAGGCAACTTGTCCTGTGAACCTTGTTCGCGGAGCTCACGTGAAAGCAGCCACAAGGGAAGGCTAGAAAGAGACCGACCGTCCCAACCTTCAAACAGGTCCGAATATTCGCACTTTTGTTGTTTTATATTACACGTGGTCTTGGGTGGACCCCTTCGATACCAGATTTGATGGTGACTCAATTTTTACACAATTAGCATTGAGCACTGCGGATTTTCACCATGCCGTGCGCAATTGGAGGTGTTGTGCCTTGTTCACTTGTTCTTCTTTCAACGAATCTTTGCCTCGGAGCCTTGAAAGGATCTCCGATTGAGGGCAGACTGGACTCCTGGCAACTTTTTCCCCAAACAGCTTGGCTGTGCAGGTTCTGTGTTGATGCTAAGAGTTGCTCCCAGCTGCGAGATGGTTTGCCCCTGCTACTATACGGTTCCCTTGCTGTTTGCCCACTTGTCTGCCCACTTGTCTGCCCACTTGTCTGCCCACTTGTCTGCCCACTTGTCTGCCCACTTGTCTGCCTGCTTGTCTCCCCACTTGTCTCCCCTTGTCTCCCTTCTTGTGCTTGGCGATTCTTGGTGACTCGGATCTTCTCACGGCTTGTCTCCCCACTTGTTGCACTTGGCTGCCCAGACATGGTCTCCGGTTGTTGACAATGTGGGCCACTTGAACGAGATGATGTGCGTGACTGGTTTATTTTTTTGGGGAGAAGCTTGATCAAACTGATGTCAGATTTATGACCATCCCATGGGCGGATGTTCTGCCTCACTCAGGCGGTGCTGCCAGCAATCCTCCAGGGCCAGGCGTGCTCTCGGAGAGCCAGCCGTGGTTCCGACTGGTCAAGTGGAGGAATTGTTATGGAGGCTAAACCGTAAAGCATGCAACCAAAGACTCGGGACGTGCGCCCTTCACACACTATCTTTCGACAGGGGATGAGAACACATGCACACACGCATATCTTTTAAATAGATAAGTGCTAAATAAGGAACAGTATTGCTGGATGACCTGCAGCACTAAAATGAGAACTCACTGATTTGTGATGTCAACAGCAGCAGAAGAAAAGAAGAAGCCCGCCTGAGAAATGTTATGCAGTCAAGCAGGGCCATAGTGCTGAACACTTTCCTTCATTTTGCTGGGACTTAAGACGACACATGGGAAGCTTTAGAATGACACTTGATCAACTGTTAAGATTGAACAACCAGGTGTCTCGTGATTTGAGTCCACCGCCGCACCACCTACCAAAGCCCATGCACCACCAACCGCCTACACGAACCCGACTGAGAACAAAGCGCAACTTGCTAAGCAATAGCTGCCGAGCACCAACCATTGGCCAACACCACACACACACACACAATGCACACAGACACACACACACACAATGCACGCAGACGCACACACACACACACAATGCACACAGACACACGCACACACACACACACACAACACGCACAATGTACACAGAGCACACACCCACACATAACACCACAAAGCCCCTTGAGTATTTACAGGGAAACACAATGCAGTTTTAGTTTTGGGGACACCGTTTCAGAAACACCCACATATGGATATTCCCCCCTGCCAAAGTTGCGGGTTGGGTAGGTGCTCGAAATACGTGCCTTGTTATTTTGTGTGCTTCAGGATAGGTTCACAACCCGAGCTTAACAGGACTATTTGGTTAAGGCACGTCCGCGGGAACACGAAGGTTTCTTCCCTTGAGCTACAAACAACAAACAACAAGCGGCGCCGCAACAGCCCTGGAACCGAACTTGTCCCCAAAAAGCGCCTCAAAGGATTGGCCGACCGATGTACGTGACTCGAATTCCATGCCATTCCACGAAAGTGACCTACAGAAGCCCGCTGGAGTAGACTTTAAGACTTGGTTATTTCGCACATCCCAACAGCTTTTAACTAAGGGATCAGCGTACCAGAGATGGGTAGGAATGGAACAAACAAGCCTTCGGAGCGGACAAGTTCCCAACGAAAAAGCTACTAGAGGCGCCGTGCCCGACCGAGTGGCTCCTGGTGGCGCACCTGGTCTTTCAGTTCTGCACCGCCGCGGTGTGGAAGGCCCACGGGGTCCACCCAGCGTCTCAGCTAAACTACCGTTGGGGCGCGAATTTGGGTTACTCCGAGTCCAATTGCAGTCAAAGAGGTGGAGATAGCGCAAAGTGATCTTTCTGCTTTTTGGATGCGACTTTCTTTACAGGGTTAGTGGATTTCAATTCCCTTCACTTCATGTGAACCCTTCGTATCCAACGAAGCACACAACCATCACCCGTGGTTCAAAAAGAAACCAACGGGTCCCCATCCCACCCCACCCCACCCGCACCCCCAGCCCCCGCCCCACCCCGCCCCACCCCGCCCCACCCCACCCCCACCCCCACCCCCACCCCACCCCCACCCCACCACGCCCAACCTACCCGCCCGGTTTTTGCTGAGGACGAGGTGGCCTTCATTGGGCACTGTTTGCCCTCGCAGCTCAGGGAGCTGAGTGACTTCTGTGCCGCAGAGCTCGGCGCCAGCGTGAGGACGGGGCGCAGTTAGCGGTTAGAAGGCCGAAGCTTGTAAGAAAGAATTGTTCTATATGGCACCAGGTTGGATCAAGTTGGATCAGTACCAGCAAGGTCCGGCGGTAAAGTCCGGTAGTTCCGGGGCGGACGCCTCGAGAATTTAAGAACCAAAGTTCGGAGTAGGCTCCTTTCCACCTTCCCTTCCCCTCTCTCTCTCTCTCTCTCTTTTTTCTTTCTTTTTCTTTCATTTCATCTTGCTCTTACTATTTTCCTTTTTCCTTTTTCCTCTTCCTCTTCCTCTTCCTTGTTTTGCTCCTCCTCCTCCTCCTCTTCCTCTTCCTCCTCTTCCTCTTCCTCCTCTTCCTCTTCCTCCTCTTTCTCTTCCTCCTGTTCCTTTTCCTGCTCTTCTTTTTTCTCCTCCTCTTCCTCTTTCTCCTCTTCCTCTTCCTCTTTCCCTTTTGCTTTCGCTCTCGCTTTCGCTTTTCGCTTTCTCTCTCTGTTTCTTTCTCTTTTTTGTTCCGTTCTATTTCACTTTATGCTCTTTCTCATCCTTCCTTCACTCCTCTTCCTCTTCCCCTTTGTCTTTCTTGCTGCTTTTGCTTTCGCTTTCGCTTTCGCTTTCGCTTTCGCTTTCGCTTTCGCTTTCGCTTTCGCTTTCGCTTTCGCTTTCGCTTTCGCTTTCGCTTTCGCTTTCTCTCTCTGTCTCTGTCTCTGTCTCTTTGTCTTTCTCTCTTTCTATATATTTGTATTATATCTATGTGTTCTTTTTGCTTGCTCATTTAGCCAGGTTTCTTCCTTGTTGCTTTCATTCTTTCATTCTTTCTTTCTTTCTTTTTTTTCCCGAAAGCATTGCGAAGGGTTCTTCTGGTAAAATCACCAGCCTTATCACACAGCTAAACTTGCACGAGCCAACTTGCACCAGCCTTATCGCACAGCCAAACTTACACGAGCCAACTTACACGAGCCAACTTACACGAGCCAACTTGCACGAGCCAACTTGCACAGCCAACTTACACGAGCCAACTTGCACGAGCCAACTTGCTCGAGCCAACTTGCACAGCCAACTTTACACCAGCCAACTTGCACGAGCCAACTTGCACGAGCCAACTTGCCCGAGCCAACTTGCATGAGTCAACTCGCACGAGCCAACTTACACGAGCCAACTTGCACGAGAACAACTTGCACGAGATATCACACATCCAAACTTGCACGAGACATTTGGACACGAAAGTAATTAGTTAGTCTCTTAAGGCGGCGCTGTGGGACCGAACCCACCCTGCGAAAATGACACCTTCTGCGGGGATTGGCGTGGTCGATGTCCAAAAACTGAGGACATTTTACGATTTCTGATTTGCCCGCGGACCCTCTGCGGGGATTGGCGTGGTCGATGTGCAAAAACTGAGGACTTTTTACGATTTCTGATTTGCCCGCGCGACCCTCTGCGGGGATTGGCGTGGTGCAAAAACTGAGGACGTGTCACGATTTCTGATTTTGCCCGCGCGACGATTAGCGTAGTCGATGTGCAAAAACTGAAGACTTTTTACGATTTCTGAGGTGCGCGCGCGACCCTCTGCGAGGATTGGCGAGGTGGATCGCACGAAATGCTAGTAAAATGCTACTTTTTCAAGTCGGAACGCGGGCTTGAGAGTTTGTCTCGTGGTTACGTGCCTGCTCTTGGCAGTGACCGGCCCCGGGCTCGAATCTTGCTTGGTCTCCGCGGCCTTTAAGTTAGAAAGTCAGCAGCGAGAAAGTGGCTCACAAAGGTTGCCGTGTTGCAGTCAGCGCTGCGCGCAGAGAACTTGCTCGGAGAACTTGCTCATAGAAATTTGCGCCGAGCTTGCGCAGCATACTTTTGCGTAGCGCTTGCGCATCAGCCGCTCCGTGCCTAGGCGAAGGCACAAAGCACAAAGTGTGTCAGCGATCGCAGCTTTCAGACCTCACCAAACTGACCAACTGACCAACTGACCAAACCCACCCAAGAAACCGAGCAAGGCGCCCGACTATTGTCAAAGGACATTTAGCGTCCGTAACACTGGAACTAATTGAGCAGCTCTACTTGCGAATGCATGCAGTTGTGCGTGGACTTTAAGAATTGAAGCACTACGGGTAAAGAAGCTGAGAAAAGCTCGACAACGCGAGAACTGGGGAATAGAAGCAGGCAAGAAACATGACCTGTGCATGAATTCGGCTCTTATGAGATTTCTCAGAGACGGGACCATTTGCACAGACGCACACGGCTTCGTGGCCTTCAATCAGTGAAGGCTCTGTGCGCTTTGGGTTGGTAGACAAACTCACAGCGCCTAACGCTTCTCGCGCAACCCTCCGCGGGGGGTCCGACCGTTTGTCCCTTTCATGGGATCGAAAAAGGCTGAAAGAACGACAGGAAGAGCAAGAGGAAAAAAGGAAGGAGAAAGATAATTAAAACAGAACGAGAAAGAAACAGGCAGAGAAAAAGAGAGAACGAGAAGGAGAGAAAAGAAAGAGCAAAAAGGAAAGAAAAAGAAAAAGACAAAAGAGAAATGAAGGAGAGAAAAATGAAAAGGAAAAAAAAGAGAAACGATAATAAGAAAACAAGGAAACAATGCAAACTAACTTAGGAACATCAAAAAGGCGTTTAAAAAAGGGATACCTTTAAGCTCAGAAACCAAAAAAGACAACACGACCTGTCGAGGCTCCTGCGTATAGCGCAATTCGGCTTGGAGACGACCCCACACGTTGCGCTAGCGCGGCTTGCGCGCGTGCATGTGTGTGTGTGTGTGCTAGCGCGGGAATCTGAAAAGTTTGCCCTTCTGTGACTTATAAGCTTTGGTGTTGCGAGCTCTGTGCACTTGCGCGCGTGCTGCTACCGCGGATATCTACAAAGTTTGCCCCTCTGTGACTGATAAGCTTCGGTGTTGCGAGCTCTATACAAGTGTTGCTCTGCGCAAGTGCTCGGCCCAAGTGTTCAGCGCAAGTTGCTCTGCGGGCGCATGTGCTCTAAGCAAGAATTGCAGCAAACACAACAACAAGCTTTGTGCTTTGCCTGCTTTGCGTAGACCATGGTTTGGGTTGGCCGCCCACGCAAGCGCAGAAACCGGTAGGCAGGCAAACAACGCCCGGCACCATGCAGCACTTCTGCCAGGTGCACGGCGCCGGACGCCGAGCTCATCATCCTCCTTGCTGAGTCGGAGGACGTCCATGGCGCGGCGTCGGGGCAGCCAGGGGCGCCAGGGGCGCGAGTACTGCCTGGGGCCGGGCGACTCTGGCCGCGACTGGGTGAGGCGGCCAGGCTGGACACCTTTGCCCTGGAGAGGGTCCAGACGACCTTAAGCGCACATTCGGAGTCAAAGGAGGAAGTCAAGGACGTGAGTTTCGGGGTGCAGATAGTCCAGCTGGATGAGGCGATGGTCATAGTCCAAGACCTGCTGAAAGAGGTGGAGTACGGGGAGGAGGAGTTTGAGGCAGACACCGTTCCCTTCATGTTCTTGGACTCTTTGCAGTGGGTCACTTTTACCAGCCTCATGCGCTCACGATACAACCTCACTGACATTAGCATGGACGCCCCTTGACAGAAAGGGGGAGGACAAGCTTCTGAAGGTAGGGGGACTGGACTGTTCCTTTGTGGTGGCATCAGCGTTTCTTCTTTGCAGAGGTGCCACATTGAGCCGACAGGTTGCAACCGTCATTTGGCTCCAATGCTGTCAGCCTTTCATTGCAAAGTCCTTGCGATTGATTAGGCTCAGCTTTTTTTGACCGGTGATTGCCTGGATCCTTGAAGCAAACAGAGCCCCAGCCATGCCAAAAACTGTTGGAGCCAACTGACCACTGATCAAGACCCATTTACCAGTGCAAGACGTGACACAGATACAGGGGCTTTCACTGTGCAAACACAGCTTCAATCCATGAATTTCTCTCAGCTGCATCTTGTCATAGCCACATCTGATTATTCACTAACTATATATTCGGCTCGTGCTGTCTCCAAGTTTCTTTCGGCCGGAAGACCCTGGCCCCGGCGCTTGCGCCAAGTTGCCCTTTCTCTCCTCGAAAGGAGCTGACTGCACCTCGCCCGAGGCTTGTGTGGCCGACCTCGCGCGCCAGCTCGCAGGGTCTGGCCGCTGTGGAGAACTGAAGCCGGAGGTGGGGGGCATGGGACAAAGCATGAAGTCGAATGGCTAGGGTCCGTGTTTTTCGACACCCTTCTCACCTTGCTTGAAAGGGACGCAAGCAGATCCGCCGCTTTTAGGGAACGTGCCCAAAGGGGGCTTTTCAAAAGGAGATTCCCCTGAAGATGATATTTTTTGGGTTGCATGTTCATTTGCAGGAATGTAAAATGGCCGTGACATTTAATGGCCGGAACAGACTCCAAGATGTTTGGACAAGCCAAAGGGCACCAAAGGACAGATGTGTTGAAGGGAGTGTACTCTCGATTTGCCTTCAGGGGGCCACTGACTCGCTGCAGTGCCTTACCTCGCTGGTCAAAGAGGACGCAGGGAATGTGCTGATCGGCGTGCACGGCATCGAGGGGGACCCCATGGCCCTGCAGTTCCGCACCCTGTCCTCGAGGCGTCACACAGTCACGTGGCGCAGGGCCCGGACCAGCATGCGCAAAGTCCTTTCTTTTGCAGGGGAGGTCCGTTCTTATCAAAACCAAGAGCTGGAGGTGATGTTTGTGAAGGTGGTGCAAGAGGTCGTTGCCCTCACTGCCATTTGACAGCATGTGCGCAGGCTGTCAGGCGTGTTGGCGATATATGCATTGAAGGTGACGGAGAGGCTGGGAAAGACAACTGAAGGGCTGAATGGCTGAGGGCACGGCACTTGCGAAGTCTTTGGGTTGTGCCAAGAACGTCAGAGCACTCAATTCGTCGACCTGGTCCACTTGTAGGGTGCCTGGCTGCTGTGCGGGGTGGCCACCTTTGTAGGGTTCTCATCATTTGTCACTGGCTGTTCCCTGACATGGTGTTACAGGCTAGGTGCTTGTTCCTCGCGTCGTGCCCCGTCCGGTTTGCGACACCGCCCCAAGTCGATCTCAACCCCCGCGCGGGCCGGATCTGGCGATGCGCGAGGCACCGAAAGTCTTGCTGCACCTTGGAAGACTTGGCCCGGATGCACGTGGAGGCGCTGCAGCGGCGCTTCGGCTTCAGGCGCGGGGGGAGGGGCTGCAAATAGATGGGTCTTGGCAGCCAAAGATGAGAAATCCCTAGCTAATGATGGTCCACACGGCCTTCAGGCGTAAGACTCGTCAAGGGCTAGTAAGGGTCACCCTCCAAGGAAGACTGCTGGGTGGTCTGACTCGAGCCTCTGAGTGAGTGGCTCACACTGGCATCAGTGTTGAGGTCGCACCATCTTCATTTGCCGCTCCTCTAGGGTACTTCTTCATTGTTTGGTGCTTTGGGATTTTCCGTCTTTTGGCTTCTCCGTGAATTTTTGTGGCCTCTCCGCTCCCCGGATCACTGGGTGATGCCTGCTCCATGGCCTCGTGAGCCAGTAGCATGCAATACTAGATCCTCATTAAGTGTTTCCTTCTAGACTGCTAAGCATCTTGCGAAGCACCAATTTGCAAGTTTACCTCTTGATGTGGCGGGCCCATCGCTCCAACCCTAGCCAGGGTCCTGATGGAGGAAGTCAGAGGTCTTGCGCAGGTTGGCGCCTGTTGAATGGGATTGGGATTCCCCGTGCGAAACGGTGCGTTGCTCATGTATGTGGCATGTGCAGTCATCAATCCGTGAACAAAGACTTTAGATACCCGTCTGGGTGCCTCCTAAGAAAGCAACGGCTATGGCACTAAGGAGCCTTGACCGTGGCACAACATGTTGAAAGCAAGACTCTTCTGAGTCCCTCTTTGGCACTGCTTCAGCAGTTCAACATTGCTTGCTCTTGCCAGGGAGTATGGCAATGAGGCCTCTTGCAACCACAAGTCCCGTTGTTGCTTCTTTTTACAGGATTCGAACCATTTGTTTTTACGTTGAGAGGGGTTGGTCTTTACTCGTTTCAGCGTCTGAGAGGTCCTACAACCTCTACGGCCACTCCTTTGGTGCCATGGTTGCCCACAAGATGGCGGAGGTTCTGGAGGCCCAAAACATCAAGGTCACGCTGCTGCTGGGAGACTTCGAGGCCCTGGAGTATACTTTTGATACCCAAGGAGCAACAGGGATGGTAAAGGCTGGCCCGCGTTTGGTTTGGGTTGGGATTATATAATAGGTGCTTGGGCCCTGGGGGTCTTTTGACAGGCCTCTCAACCTGTTTGCAAGGGTGGAACGGGCAGAAAGGACGGCGGAGTGTGCCGAGGGGCCTGAAACATATGGCCCACCCAGGGCTCTGTTCTATATCTACTGAGTACTGTTTGTGGGGAAAGTAAAAGGGGGCAGGGAAGAAGGGACGGGTGGGATGAGGGTCTTCTGCGCAAACCAGTTGCCAAACAGCAAACTGAAAACAACAAACATCCAATCATCCTGCAGCGCTGTCCCGTGTATATTCCATATCCGGCCACATCTTTGTTGCCCCCTTACAACATGCAACATGTGGGCCGCATGATGGATGGGCTTTGTTTACACCTGTTCCTTGCGCACTTTGGTGAAGGTGGCGTACCCTCCGGAGCGCTTTATGGCCAGCGAGAGCCAGTTCACTGAGAGGTGCCGCATGGGCGCCTGGGAGGGCCCAGAGATGGAGGCCTACAAGATCCTTCTGAGGATCGGGGGCGAGATGATTCTGCGGTCGGTGGCTGGCTGGGTGGGTGGTTTGTCAAATGGTTAGTTGGCCAGAGAGAATGAATTCCAGTCCGCTCTCTCGCTCCATCTCTACTTCCTGCCTACTGTCCAATCAAGAGATGACAAATGAGAGGCGCGGGAGGAAGAGATGGTTCAATTGATTCGCTGACAATTGCTTGTCCGGGTGAGCGAGTCTTCTCTCTTCATCATCTCTCGTGGCTCAACCCGTCCCTCTAATTCTCAGCTGTAAGTGAGGGTTGGATGAAGAGATGGCTCAATTTGTTTCATTTGGATGGGAGAGAGAATGGAGAGATGGCTCACCTAACCGCCTGACCACTAAGTCAATGGGTGTGCACATGATGAAGAGAAAGCCCATCTCGTCCCTTTCCTTCACCGACCATCATTTGTCTGAATGGTAATAGCCAGGATGGGACAATGAACGCCCGGCCCAATTGATGACTCTTCCAGCCTCAGCGGTCAACCCTTGGAGTCTCCGCCCGTCAATTAATCTCTGCTAATGAATGGAAAAATAGGAGATTCGTTGCTCAAGATGTTAGAGAATTAGCTTTATGAATGGCTTCTCCAAGCCATTCCATCCTGGATTTCACTTTATGTATTTGTTGGAACGAAACTTGAACGACTTTAAGATGTGAATGAATGGTGAGGAAGAGGTGATTTGGACGCAGTCATGTCCAAGAGTTAACTAACGGGCGCCTTCCTTTCCTCTCCCTCGCTCGCTTCTAAGATCTGAGAATGGCGAGCGATGTCTCTTCTCTTTTCCAGGTTCCACCTTGAAAGAAACCTTCTGGCCATTTTGGCTCTGACTTTTACTGGCCAGTTCAAAGAATGCTTTTCGGAACCGCTGTTAAATCTCCCAAACCAATTCAAAGAAGGGCCTTTGAGTCCCCGTTATGTGTTGGTTTGGGTTTGGAACCCCGAACTAGTTCAAGCACGCCTTTTAGCCCGCTCGTGCGGCAGGAGGCACATGTTCTCCCACCGGGAGGACGCGGAATACTGCGAGCAGCTTCTGCGTTCGTCCGATGTGAGGAGGCGGATGTCGCATTCCGTATTCCAGGGAGAGGGAGGCGAGTCTGTAGACCATTCTCAAGATTTTCGCTTTTCCCTCGTTTGGGTGGCCAACATTACAGCACCTTTTGGAAAGGCAACTTAAATCGAGCTTCCTTTTTGTTGGATGTTTGAAGGGGACGTATGGGGAGCCCCGTAAACGACAACCAACACTCAAGGGTCCCGGCCTTGAACTTTCCACGGGCCCAATTTGTACCCGCCAAGGCCGGAGCATGCCCGGGAGAAACCAACATGAGTTGAGTTATTGATGGAGGGTCCTGAACCCAATGTCCTGAAACTAGAAAGGATGTGATGTGCCGACAGCCGAGATTCAATGACCTCCTTTGAAGTTACCAGGGTCGCCAACATTACCGAATGGGAGCCTGCAGGCGCTTCTTTTTGAGCAGCACCTGAGCAGAGAGCTCTTTGAGCTTTTAAGCCTGTGATGGCTCATTGGAGTGTGGGTTCTCCACAGTAAGTGAGATTGGGGAAGGGTTTCGAGTCGAGGCTTTCTTTCCGGTTTTCCCTTGTTTCTTTTTAAACTGGCCACGAAACAGGCACCACACCTCAAACACAGCAGTCCTCATGGCTTGCTTGGAGTCCGGCCATCAGGCGTGAGAATGAGATGAAGGGCTTCGTCCTGACTCAGGCGCCGAAGCCCGTCCATGGGCTGGTTTCCGTCTTTCTTGCTTGGGAATCAACCCCAAACAAGTTCACCCTCTCTCAAGTTCAACTGGAAGCTTCCCAGGTGCCCCTTTTGAAGAGGAGAGTTTTAAACCAAGCTTGTGCTGGGAGCTTTCCATGTTAGCCTGAGGGAGGCCAAACAAAGATACAGCCAGATTGTGCTGTGCGTGCCACAGACATTGGAAATACATGGGGGGGAGGGGGTTGCAAACACCAGCCACTTTTGAAGTCTAAGCAATCAGGCCCTCACCCCCTTTAATGGGGAACCAGAAGGAAGTTGTTTAAACAACAGGTGTTTAGACATGTTGCAACATGGATTGCCCACGGGCGAGGCCAGGCCAAGCAGCATGCCCATGGAAAGCTACTGCACCATGATCCAGGAGACTGGGCTCGTTTTTGACTGCCAGGAATAGGCATCCTTTGCAGTTCGTTTCGGCAGAAAATAGGTGGCCGCAGCTTTAGAACTAGTCATTTAGCAGTGCCACGTTTTTCAAAAGGACGCCTGCTAGGGCTTCCAGGTTTGCCACACCTCCCATGGCGAACCCGAAGTGAGGTAAGTTGACGCAGTCACGGGCATTTTTTTTCTAGGGGCTTAAATGCAACCAAGGGGGGTTCGGAGAAGTCTCAAGGGCATGACTGCGGTTTTCGTGAGTTCCAACTCGTGGTCCTCCCCCTTTTGGTGTCTTCGCCTCCGAAACGCAGGACTTCGCGGCGAACATGGGCTTTCATGAGGAGCTGGTCAAGAACAGCTCCCAACCCGCCGCTGCCCTGAGCCTCGTCGCGAGGGTGTAGCGGGTCTCAAGGTAGGCTGAGGCTTGGCAGCCGTTTTGGATTTGAAGGGAAGCGAAATAAAATGGGGTTCTCCACTTGTCCCCCCTACGCCGTTTTGGAATTTCAAGTCCAGCGGATCTTCCCTCTTTGCTCCAGTTTTCCCTTTGGATTCTCCACGACTGGTCGTTACATGAAAAGCCCTCACAAAACGCACCCCAGGGTCCTGAATTTGAATTGTTGAAGCCAATCCTGTGGATGGATAATATCCTCACGAGGTTTCCCACAGGGCTTCATGCAGTGCGGATTATGTCTGCACTGGGCACTCCAGAAATCAAGGTGGAACACACCGCAACGCCAACCGCTTTGAGGGAGTCTCATGGCCTTTTGCTCAGGCCGCTGCCGGGCTTCTTCGCGGAGCACAGTTACGAGCCCCGGCGCCTCGGGAAGGCCACGCTCTTTGTGAGCGCCAGTCCGGAGTTCTCCTGCTGCGTGGAGGTGCGGAGATTTTGGCGGTTCGAGCAACTGCAAACCTGGGGCCCCTCGGCCCCTCGACAGTGGTGGCCAGACCATGTGACCAGGAGAAAAACAAGGGCGCCCTTGTCAGCCCGACCCGGTTGGCAAAGTGGCCGCAGTTTGGGATTTGCATTTCTTGTTTCAGCGCCCAACGACTCGCAGAAAGCATCTTCGAGTTCTAGATAGACTGTCTGCTTGAGTCTGAATGCCCACAATCAAAACCAGGATACTCGGCTTGCGTTTTTAAGATCTTTCCATTTGGTAAGACCTCTTTAAGAGGTTTTGATTGACAGGTTAACAAGCAGTACTACGAAGAGCTGCAAGTTGTGCACGAGCCCAGTCACGAGCACTACAACTTGCTGGAAAGTGAGGAGGTGATTCCCCAGAAGGTTTTGGAAGTTTTGGGTTTCGCGTAGTGGCCTTGTAAAGATTGTGCGACGGGCCTGCACAGATTTCTTTCTCATGTCGGCGTTGGTTCTCCAAATGACCAAGTTTGGCTGAACTTGTACAGATCCGCTGACAAGTTTAGGTGCGCATGCCTCTGCTGGTTTCTGAACTTACCGGCAGCGATTTCGCTCGCACTCGCAGAGACCCGAGGTCAACTTCTCTGAGGCAAGCATCTCTTTGAGGCCGACTCATCATTACTGGGGATCCCGCATTTCAGATTGGCGTATTTTTCAAACTCAAACTTAATGCAGGCTGTCACAGCGGTCACCGGCTTTCAGGCAAGACTGAACCGGGCCGTGTAAAGCTTGTGCAACTGGCCGGCACAGATGTTATATATGTATTTGCTGGCTTTGGTTCTCCCATCAGGTTTGGAACCCGCGTGTCTAGACCTGCATGGCTTGAACTTGTAGAGTTTGCCCAACGGCAGTGTAAATAGGGTTTGCGTCACTGGTTTCAATGCAAACTGGAAGAGCTTTTGCTTGCACCCGCAAAGAGCCAGGATGAGTTCTGAACGTCGAACATCTCTAGAGGCCACATCATTGATTGAGATGTGATTGATTTCCTAAATCTAAGAGCTGCCACACGGTGCAGCTGACCCCGAATGAAAACGTATGATCCATTCGGAGCCGTGCAGGATCATTTAGGGTTTCAAGTTTGTGCAGGTTCGACGTATGTTTTCTCTGTGGCTTTGTTTTTCTTGTGTTGAGTTTCGCTTAGTTATTGTCTTATCTATTGTCTTATCGCCTTTACGCAACCGCTCCGTCCTCTTTCCCACGGCCGAGCTGCCTCAGCATCAACGACAACACAGCCATGATGCAAATGGTTTGATTGCATACATACCTCGCAACAGACTGAAACACAAAGCACACACAATGAAGAGCGCGCAACAAAAAGCCTTGAAACACTTGCAGCAGGAAGCATGAACATGGTGCTGCCCATGCTGCAAACCAACGCTGCCGGGGATAAGGCACCAGGGTAGAATCGAGCCTCAAGCAGGGTTAATATCTTGACACTTTTCCACCACTGGTACCCGAAATGACATGCGGGAGTGTAGGAAAGAGTGTCTAATGTAACAATTGAATCCTTTGTTACAATAGAGCAAACGCGATCAACTGTCCGTACGCCAAACTGGTCACTACTACTAGCAACGCAGCCAGGAGGATGCAAAGGGTGTTGATTACATAAATACAAAGCTGACAATTCGAATGATGCAGCGGGTAGACTAAAGATGTAAACCTTCGACTAGAAAATGCATCACCTGCATGGAATAAAGCCCTTTTCGGGCGCCTGCAGCAAGGGGTCGGTCTCTATGTGTGTAGAATCAAAGGCAGTTTAGAAGAACTCTCGTGTTACGGCACTAATTGAAAGGTAGTCTTGCCAACAGATAGGATGAACAAAGAATGAATGCATGCGAGTAAACATGCGTGGGCATGTGGCGGGGGAGTAGAAACCATTGGGCCTTGTCTTATTGAAAGCTTAGCAAGCTTCGGACCCGTGCCGCGGACGCGCGTGCTTGCTTTTCGCGCCACAGCAGTTTTGCGTGACACGCGCTTCGCTTCGACAAGCTGGGGTACAGATTGCGTGGCAGAGGCGGCCGCAGCATTTTGGCAACGATGGCAAGGATGTGTCGCACAGCTCATTGGCACGGACGTGCAAACTGGCGCATGCAGATTTGAAGGTCAAGTGCAAATTTTGTGGCAGGCGCGTCGCTTTCGCAAGGTCAAGCGCAGATTTTGTGGCAGTCACAAGCTTGTGGCAGCTGCAGCACTTTCATAGGAAGAAGATCGCCCGTGGCTCGGCAGGCAGATACATAGGTAGATGATATATATATATATAGATACGTAAATGGCCAGATGGATGGATTGGTGGATGGATGTATGGACACATTGCCAGCTGGATGGTTAGACAAATAAATAGATAGTTATATAGACAGAGTGAGAGATAGATAGCTAGACAGGTAGACTAAGAGGCAGGCAGACAGACAGACAGATATATAGATAGATAGACGGATATACTGATTGCTAGATAGATCGGTGGGTAGATACAAGGGAAGGATGGAAAGACGAATGAATTTTTGATCTTTCCATTGCTTGCTTGATGCTGGCAAGAAAAGATAGAGGAGAGACACCGACGGTGTGTGGGGCGAGGGGCTGACACACAGCTTCATTTGCGTAGAGGATATCTTTGGCGAATCTGGGTCAGTATCCACTAAGGTCCATGGACATCAATTCAAAAGTGGCATGTGAAAGAAACGGAAAATCAGAAGCGGCAATTTTCCCATGTCCATTCATATGGGTTCCCACCTTTTGGAGCTTCAGAGAAACCCATCGCCAAAGCTGGATGCCATTCGACTGCGCTCGACGAACCCCCATCCGCTGTTTTGGCTCCAGCACCGTGGGAAGAATCAAAGTCTCCCGCTGGGCCGACGTGCGGCGCCAAGTGCTGGATTTCTTTGAACCTAATATCAGGGCCTTTTCTTAGAACTTTGAACGTGGCCTCGCTTGAAATTGTGTTTTGCTGCTTATTGAGTAACCGTTTCTTCCCCCGGACCAAGCCCGGGCCAACTGGGTTTGGGCTTGGTGCTGAGATGCTGGGAGACATCCATTGGCGGTACAAAAAGCATCCACACACATGAAATGAGATGAACCGTGGAAACCATTCTTGCCGCAGTTAGCTTTTGTTCGAGAATCGTAAGCCAATCGTAAGTTGTATGTGTAAGTCACGAGTCGTAAGCTTTCCGTAAGGTCTGTTTGTCAGAATGATCTGGCATGGCGAGCAGTTGACGTGTAGATTGTTTGGATAAGTCGTTTTGGCCCACAGAATGCTTCTTGGAGTGAAACTTGGGATCAGATGCTGGAATGGGTTCTCTGAGCAAGGTTCACGAAGGGCCTCACTTTAGTGAGTTTCCAGGCTCAGACCACTGCTGTTTGACCTGCAAGGGCGGCCCTGGTGCCTTTTTTTTCCAGGGTTGCAAGAAGCTTGTCGTGAGCCTTGAAGACCAACACGTAAACAATGTCTTCCTGGAGAGCAGCAGTCGGTTTATGGGGTTGTGGGGCCCAGGGAAAAACGAGCCCTTGGAGTTTTTTGCCCTTCGGCCTGAAGAGGCAGGAGAAAACTTGTCTGCCCGGAAATGTTCTTGTCAGGACTGCCGTGGCCGTGGGCGGTTAACCAGGAGCCCCAATCAGTGTTTGGCCACCCACAGCGTGTTGGCCAGCTTGAACATACCAGCTTTTCGAGCCCCCCCCAACAAAAAGAAGAAGAAGAAGTTGTTTTTTGGACTTCGCCAGTCTTTTCAGCCCTGGACTTTGTTCTTGGACGCCCTTCGCCTGTTTTTGAGAAGCAGTTACTTGGCCACATGCAATTGGCCTGGGTCGCATCAAAGGACACAAACGGGTACGTCCTTCATTCTTCTTTGCAATAAACCAAAAGCAAGACTCTTGGACACAAACGGGCCGGCGATTGGCCCTGCGTCAAACAAAGCAATGCTTTCAAAGCTGGTGAAGGCTGCCACGGCTTACATATGGATTACAAAAGGCTTCCGACAAAATCGACGCACCTTCCACTCCGCAACCTCAACAGAACTTGCCTTTGGGAGGTGCTGCAAAAATAGACGCAGACTGGTACAACCTGAACGGGTGCGAGTTTGATTGGGCCAAACCTGAAACAGCACTGTTGGAGACAAATGAGCCGCGAAGACAAATCATAGGAAGGCTTTGGCGCAGCTTACAGACGGCTTACGAAAAAGCCGCCGCGCAAACTTGGCGAAAGGGCGGCGCCCCGAGAGGGCGCTTTTGACATAAAAAAGAGAGCCGGTCCTTGCCCGGTCCCCAGGAATCGAGAAGGTACCCACAAGGCTTGCTTGCGCGTAGTCACACCCAAAAGTCTGTGGCAGGGTGCCTTTTTGGATTTGGTTTTTGGAGTGTGGGTGCTTGACTCCACAAACTTTCACCCTTAGAACTAACTTAGAACGCCCTTGCCAGAACTGGTGTGCCGTCGTGCTGTGGCTTCGCGCGTCCTTCATTCTTCTTTGCGGTTGGCCCCCTGTGTCAGACAAAGAGCGAAGGCTTGGCCGCAGCTAACAGCAAAAGGCTTCCGACAAAGTCGCAGCAACTCCCACAGGCGACGCTTTGCCGGGCCGGTTCAGGCTCTTGCCTCTGCGTTCTCGGCAGCCGCGGCTGCCAAAAAGGCCCGAGCTCTTCGTCCACATCCTCGTCGTCCTCCACTTCCTCTTCATCCTGAGCGCCCAATCGCCAGTCAGCCTGACCAGGCAGGGCGTTTACACCCGCCCCAATGCTTTCTGCAAAAGAAAATTGCTGCCCGAAAAGTATCCTGGCCTTCGTGAACTGTTGGCCTCCATGTCATGGCCGAGCTTGTGCAGCAAAACTTTTGCACTTTTCCATCTGCAAGTTGTTGCTTTGTCAAGCTGTCCTGCTTTGCGCTTGCGGGGGCTCAGGCACGAGCAGCTTGACACACGCCTGCCACGACGTCGTAAGCTATCCCTAAGCTCCATCTTCTGAAAGCGGCCGTTGGGTTGGCGGAAGCTTTCCGAAAGAAACTGTGGAAGCTTTTGCTTTACAGGTAACAATTTTTTCAAAGCTCGTTTGGAGATGGGAGATTCACCCGAACAGTTTTCGATCCTCTCAGCGGAGCCCGAGTTCATCCAAGGGTCCCATACAAGAACGACTGGGAGATGTCAGGTGGTGCTGCTGCAACTTGTGTTAAGGCAGCGTGACACAAGAGGACAGGTATGTGCCGGGTAGCGGGCGGCATGGCTTTTCATTCAAAATTATAAGCATCCACTTCAGCTAGTTTGTCGGGAGTAACGATTAGCGGCTTGCCTCCATGCTTCTTCAACTCATTGCAGGAGCCGAAGGCAAACCGCTCACTCAGTTTTATTTGAGGTTGCTTAGTCAGAAGAAGCACCTGAATCTGCATCGATGAAGTGAAGTGCCCTGATGACTTGGCCTCCTCCAAGGCAAGCCGATCCTCTGAGGTTCCGATGGCTGAGCTTCTTGCTGGAAGCATGACACCAGGCATGGGGTGCTACTTTGTGAGGGTATCGTGGGGCACTTGTGCAAGTGATTGTGCAGCCGGAAAAACAGAACAAGTGCATCACGGAATCCAAGTAGCGATTTTTTTGCCTTGGAAGGAGCTGCAATTTGTTTGGTAACTCTTTTTGCTTGGGGATCGCTGCCGTTTGCTTTGTTTTTTAACCCCAACCGAAACCAACGCCGCTCTTGAGAGGGAGACGGACTCGCTTGTACCTGCCTACATTCGCAAAGTCTTGACGCAGGGCGTGTCTCCTTGCATGAAGCAGACAAGCATGTTTTGCAGGTCAGATCAAGTTGAGGCAGCTGGTTGCTTAAGCATGATGTTGGTTTCTCCATCCTAATGGAGTTGATTTTGGTGGGAATCCTGCAGGTAAACACGGATTTGTCCGGAAACGTAGGAAGCGTAGGAAGCCCCAGCAGCAACCGATCGTTGCCCTCTCGTTCGGCCAGCCTTCGTGGCACCGGTGCCCATGAGTCCACCAAGCTTAGGCCCGAAGGGACGCCTTGGGATGGCTGAGGGCTGGCTTTGGTGTTCTACTCCTGGTCCACAAAAGGCCTAAGCAATCAGAAGGTGCTGTAAAACAAATCAAGTCATGATTGGATATATTCATTTGGCCCCTTGTACTCAGTTGAAGGTTCGACGGGTTGCTCGGAGCTTGTAATTGAATGGCTTGAGACCTTTTTACCTCATAAAGCCCAACCGTACTCTGCGGGCCAGTTTTTGAAAAGGAGGATCCACATACGGAAGTGTGAAGTTACGGCTGGACGCATGGCGGAATGACCCTGCTGAATATTCGACTTCATTCAGAAGTGGAACCCAATCGTGGCTGCTGGGGTCAATGCGTCATGAGTCATTCTACAAAAATAGTCAGAAAAGGATGCTCCGGCTTTGGGACTCATCACTTACGCCATCTTAGCCGGGCCTTGCTAAACACAGACCTTACCACTCTTTGTCCATCTTGGTTGTGTTCTTTCCAGTTCCCATAGACACATTCCCTTCTCTCACATGTCAGCTCGTGGAATCCCCAGCATCAAACGGCTGGGAGTAAAGACTCACTTTCAGACAACACAGAAAAACGTGGACACCGAACCGCGAATAAAGGCAAACCGGTGAGGAGTGAAGCCAGGGTTCTGGATGAACCTGTAAAGACATGTTGGTTTCGACTTTCTTTGTCTGTCATTTATGTGTATATATATAATCATTGTTATCATTATCATCATTATCATCAACATGTTCATTGTGTTTCTCTTTCCAGTGTTCCACATCATATCATTTTTGTTGGGTTTTAAGATGGGCCAAAATCACTTGGGTTTCTGCTAGGGCGCCATGGCCAAGACAAAGCGTTGGTATCGGCTGTTATAAGGGTCCCGACCATTCCACATGCGACCAAGCATAGAATTTTGCAAGTCTCTTCAGAGCACAAGGACAAATCTTCCAGATCATGTTCTGTGCGTGGCTGGCATTCTTTTCTAGGGATGTGAGTTGGAGTCCGCTTTTCTTGAAGATCTCTTGGCGGTGGATTGAAGGGAAGGCGGCAGCTAGTTCTTGCACTTGGCAGCTGCCAAGTGCCAAGAAGGTGTGGCCTGGCCGCTCACGCAGTTCCTATCCTCAGACCACTACCCGAGAGGGAAAACAAAAAGGATGACCACCCAACCAAAGGCTTTGAGTCGTTGTTTGTGGGTAGGAACTTGTTTGGATTCTGGCATTTGCCAGCTCCATCACCAAAAAATCCAACTCCCATTCTTATTGCGTAGATGCATCCACTGCTCGATTTTTCGGGCCGCACTTGGGCATGTTTGATTTGGATGGCCGTGCAGCTCGCCCCACTTGCCCCGTAAAACCAAAAAACAACAGTTACTATGAAGTTTGAATGTATAGTAAATGTTTGTTCTTGACATGCCAAATAAGCAAATTGCAAGCATATCTTATTAACATTTCTTAGCAAATCAAGTACATATGGGAAATAATGAAACAAGTGGAATCAGTCATTACAGATTTATCTTTGATTCTGGAATACATCAACATCTTACCTTTTGCAAGCACAGCAAAAACATATTTTTGAAACGGGCATCGTTTTTCTCAGACTTCAGTATTTCAAGTATTTCAGGCCAGTCAATAGCCCGCCCTTTGCCCGCCTTGTTCCTTTGCAAATCATGCCTCTTTGGCCCACGCCCTCCATACAAAGAGAGTTTCTATCGGATCTCATCTGCTTCCGGTAGGAAGGAGCCACCCAGCCAGCTCCAGCGGCCGAGGGGGCACCTCTCAGGCGTGGCAAGTTGCACGAGCTTGGCGGCTGCTCTTTGGTTTCCCTACCTTGAAACGTTTTGCGGGGCACTGGCTGTTCTCTCCCAGATAGACCAAGCTGCGAACCGCCTCACGTCTTTTGGGGCTCCGAGAGCGTTGGAGGGGAGCTGGAGGTTTCGGCAATCGCGGGTGCCGGGAGCTGTGACCGGTTTTCTGTTCACCTCCGCAGGCTTGCGCAGTGGCAGCTGCAAGTTTTGTCAGCAGGGCCCTCTGTAGATGGGGGGGGGCGTTGGGCAAGGGGGTCCCAAGGGAGCCTGGCAGCATGCGGTTGACCCTCCCTGTTCCAGCCACGATTTCCAAGCCTGAGATGCCAGAAGAAATTTTGGATGGGTCACCCTTTAAAACAATTCTGCGGGGAACCACGTCACCCCTTGGAAGATGTGTGTGTGTGTGTGCGCGTTTTTTGGGTGGTTTGACTAAAATCATGACAACCCGGTGACCCAAGGAATGATTTTGGTATGGTTTGAAGTTGAAGGTGTTTCACGGGTGGCTGGACTGGATCCTGGAATAACTTTGAGGGTGAGGGTTAGTAGTGGTTCCTTGCGAGACCCTGGTTAAGCCGTACAGGCGCAGGGGTAGAGGGGTCAAGGACCTTGGAATAATTTCTAGCTTGTCGAGTTGGGAAGGGAGGGCATTTCCAGACATTCTCAGTGATGCCCGATGGTGTGACTGCTGCTGGGAAATGCATGCTGGGGGTGTGATGGTAGTTATTTGCACGACCCTGATCAAGCGGTACAGGCGCATGGGTGGGGCTGAAGGCTGGGTGGTATGGCTGGTGATGCTGGGAGTGCCGGGGTGTGAAACTGGTTCCTTATAATACTGGTTCCTTGTGGAGTGGGCCCCCCTCCTCCCCTCCTCCCCAGCGACGTGAAGGTGCGACAAAGCGCAGCGATGCGTCGGCCAAAGACATACTGCATTCCTGGAAGCATGGCAAAGAGTTATTCCAGGGGTGGACCAACGTGGTTGGCCCCGGTTAGGCATGGCCCATCATGTTTGGCTTTTGTTCCTGGTATTTCGACAAACTTAGGAGCTTTATTTGAATTCGAGTTTTTTTTGGTCCCAAGCATCGAATTCGACCGCTTGACTTTCGGTCGACGTTCGGTCGAACTTGTCCTCCGATCCGAGCCGCGTCGAGGCCTGGCAGCGGGCCAGCGGCGCGGCACGAGGCGCGGTTCGGGGGATGTGCAGTTCGCTCGAGAGAGTCTGAAGGCCGGCAGTTTGGATCTGTGTACCTCTGTGTACCTGTTACATGATGTTACCGGTTTTGTTTTGAGTCTTGGGTTTGTTGAAGAGCTCGTCGGGAACGGAGCCTAAGCAAGGCTGGTTTCCATCGCAGACCTGCTCCCAAATTAGTTCATTCTTTCGTCGGGTGGTCTGCCGGGCCGGGTTCTTTTTGTGGAGTCGGGGCGCAATTTGTGAGAGCCTGTTATTGAATTCTGTGTCTTGTGGCCTCAGCCCCTGAAAAGGTTCAGGCTCACGCGTTTTTCAAAAACATGAAGAGATGCTCATTCGCAGGCCATGCTCATGTTCGCATGATTAAGGCAGTGTTGCTTTTGTGGCCTCTCAGGGCATTTGTTGGAGACCTTGAGCAAGCTTGATCAACCTTGAGAGGCCATCCAAGTCATGAGCTACGGGTGACAAAGACTTGGCAACCTACTGGCCTACAAAATGAGTCATGACCCTGTGCACAGAATTTGTAAAGGGCACGAGGTTTGATTGCCAGAAATGATGCCTGGCTCCAGGTCAAAGCTCCGTTCCATGCCCACGGTGGACCGGGCCTGGGCCTCAGGTGCAAGGAGTCCGGCTGAAAGTGTAGAGCCTCATTTTACAGAAGGGTGATAAAGGATAAGACGAGCTGGCACGCTTGGTAAGAGGCTGCCGTGGTTGTGTCGTTTTCAACAAGTTTGGAAAGCAGCCGAAACCGTTCGGAAGCGGACGTAATCGAGCTGTGTCCCTCACATGGCCTTAGGGGAAGACAAAGGAGCTCCCGTCACTATTCATGGGGCTCCAAGTATTTTGCAGAGCAGCGCGCCAGGATTCATGCATAGCTTCAGCATCTATCCGGGCGGTGGTAGTGGCGCTTGTGGTTGCAGATATCAAGAGGCATCTTTGCTGTAAACATGTTTCTTCTGCTCAAAGTGTTGTACCTGGAACTACGCCATTGATTCAACAACATGAGGCTAAGCGAGAAGCACCACATGACTGGGTGAGTCGCGGAAGTTTCTGGCGAATGTTTCTTCAAGGATCTGCAGCAAATGGAATTCAGATGTCCAAGCGATTCCAAGCGTGTTTTCAACAGCCACAGAGGTTGAGCCGAATCTGAAGAACTGGGCTGTCTCACTTTCGGATGGAGGTGTGGACACTAGGACCAGGAAGCATCTTCGGTCGACCTATTGCGCCGGGTCAAGGTGAATGCCGCAGCTTCAACCGCTCAAGACAACCCCCTGCTCCAGGGGCATATTTGGAAGCAGGTCGGTCAAGCTTTCACTCGACAGAGGCGCTTTGAATTGTGACTGCTTCAAGCAAACATGGCATACTCATGCTTTACAGCTCGCTTCCGTATTGTGCAAGGCCGAAGAGTATCATGTTTCAGGCATCCGGCAGCACACGCTAGCATGAAGACGGCCAGCCGAATATCACCTCATCAGCAATGATTTCGCAGGAACATGAGCTTGCAGATTTGTCGAGAATTTGCTGAACTCCAGCCAAGGGATTCCTTGTGAACTTCCTTGACTGGACGAACAAATGAGTAGGGGGACAGCCCGGTGTTTTCTGTTTTGGGCTCATTGTTCCCGCACCTGGCGCAAGCTCCATGGCCCACGTGCCGCGGCTGAAAGGCGCTGAAGAGGTTCTCCGGGCGCTGGAGTTGAACGGGTGCTGCATCCTGGAGGACTGCGGCACCTCTCAGGAGGCACGGTGGCGGTTGGGATGAACAGTTGGAACGGGGTGGGGTAATTTTAGACCAAATTCAGTCACAGTGAGGAAATCGTGTGCGGAAGTAAGTAGCCCCGTATGTTAAGCACGGCGAGGCTGCAGTCTCAATAACAAGGATGAAGGTAAACGCAAGACAGGGCAAGCATTCGTGCACGAACACGACAAGGCTACGCCAATTGGGCGGTCGATTGTTTGGGGTGGTAAACCATCTGACGTGGCATATACCCGAAACAAGCAAAGGGATTCTAAAGTCAAAAAACAAGGCTCCATAGACTGTGCTAGGGGGTTGGGCAGACCTCACTTGACAGCTGGTGGCACGAAGACATGAATTGTGCACACTTATTGGGCTGCCGTTGTACGTCTTTCTTCAATGTGCTGAGCAGGTTGTTGTACACATAGCTTTTGAATGTGTAGCTATGTTTGACGAGATGGCATTGCGTATGTGTCATTTAGGGGGCATCAACTACACACCCTCCAACAGGATTCCATGTATGGGTTACACCCGAAAGCAAACATGGAACCCTGTGGTTGAAATGCGGGGTTCCAACAAGCGCAGTCGATTCCGGGAACACGTTCCCCTTGTGGGCCTGGCCTTCCGATTTCGAGGCCGCCGCGGCGCTGCCGGCGAGGATCTTCGGATCGCCCGGCCTCCTGGGGTCCCCGGCGCCCGCGGAGGTGTCGGAGCAGGTGCTGGCAGCCCGGGGCATCGCCAAGGCGCGTGGGAGGGAGCGATTTGCGGATTTCATGACTCGGCTACGACTACCTACACTTTTTAGTTTTTCAAAACAACCACGGCGCACAAGAGAAAGACAACCGCCAGGTCATGTCAGCTGGACAAAGACTCCAAGATTCCAAGCTTTTCTCGACTTCTTCAGTGGTTGGAACCAAGATGAATTTTCAATCTTTGAACATGTGGCACTGGAATTGGAAGAGTGTTTTTCTCTCTTATGGCCACTGGGCAGCGCGCTCAAATCAGCCGGCCAGTAGCTGATTGGAAAAGGCCCCTGTTTGCAAGAAGGCCCTTTTGCGACGAGGAGAAAGTCTGCATGGGATCGGTTGGGCAGGAAGAGTGTTTTATCAAACTTGAGGGTCCCCAAGCGGATCCAAATCGTTCAAGCAACAGGAGTCTCATGGTTGCTCAAATGGGATGGCGGCCAGGGTTTGGGAAGGCACGTTTTGGGGTGTGGGAGCCTAGATGTTCAAATTGGTCTCATAGCCTAGATGTTTCATACAAGTTTCATACAAGTTTCTCTGCGCGTTTTGTAAAGCTCCACTGGCCTCACCGGCAGGTTGTTGGCCGAGCATAGGGAGAGTCGCTCGGATATTCCACCTTTAGTTCTACAATCTGAGCCATCAATCATTACATACGTATGGCCATGCTGGCAGGCTTCCTTATGCCATCCCTGAAGCATGGCAGTTGGGTGCAAGGTGAGGTTTTTCTGTTGCGAGGATGATAACTTCCGAGCGCACACAGATGGCCACGCCTATGGTGACAAGTGACTCAGCCGAAGAGATTTGACATTTCATGTGGCCTTGTCCAGTTCCAGACCTTGAACGGCAGGTTCGGAGGTCGGTACACACTGGTTTGGCCAAGGCATATGTTCCTTAGTTCCACACCCTGGCCTGCTCATAGCCCGGGCTATGAGCAATACTGGGTTCGGGATAGTGTACGGAAGGCAGCAAGGTGTCAAAGCATGAGAAAATGGTATAGACTGAACAACTCAAGCTCCCGTCCCCGCTCCTTTTGCATTTGCCTCACTTCCTGAGTTCATGAACTTTAAACTTTTTGGCATTTTAGTGGTAAATTAAAGTTTGGACGTTTTTGGGCCATCCACTCGGCAAGTGAGTTGCCCTGCAACTTGAGGGTGAAGCCAAAGGCAACCACCCTCGTTAATTCAACCAGAAACCAAAAGGAAACCGAAGCCCGTTTCGGGGTTCCATCATTTCGACTTGCTGCACCCATGTTTCCAGAGTGCTTGGTTGAAACGGAAGCCCAATGGAAAGCCACTACTTTCTTTGGTCTCAAACTTATTGACTTTGTCGGCTTCAGGTTCCCGGACTACTTCCTGCTGCTCTGCTCCGTGGCCAGCGACGTGGGTGGTGGCAACTTCCTCATCGACGGCTATGCGCTGCTGGAGGCGAGGGACCGAGCGGTACGGAAGGGTTCCCCCCTCCCCCCCGGTGTTTGGGGTGACTTCGTATAGTTCAACTGAGTAGGCTGATTTACTCCCCTGCATAGTGACTTGGAACCAAAAAGGAAATCCTCCAAAAGGACATGGCAGTATTTTGGGTTCCTTGTCGATCTGCGCGCAGAATCACATCATCTGTTGGTTGCCGTTTTTGCATGAGCTTTCCTTGTTGACCACCGATCTTTCTCCAGGTAGCAGATGAGCCTCCTTTTTGAGGAGAGACACTCCCCCAAGCTGAACGTATTGGGGCCTTGGGTCCGTTGGAGCCCTAGGACCTCGCCAGCGAACCAGACACCGCGTGGGTCCCGCCGGCGCTGGCGGAGCGCTCTGTGAACCAAACCTCCAGGTCCATGCACCAGAGTTTTTTTTTTGGTGGGGGGGGGGGGAAGGGAGCGGATTTTATGGTGGACGCTTATGGTCCCAACAAACCCTTGTCTATGATATGAGTGGGCGGGTCCGTTGCAGTGTCAGCTTCCATGATTGGTGGAGGGCGTACCTCATTGGAGCACGCCCTAAGGACAGGAATCCGTCCCAGGATTGGCTAAGACCGCATAGCTGTCGCTGTTGGAGCCCTTTGAACGTGTAGATTTCCGCTAGGAGATGTGTCAAACTGGTCCCAAAGATGGTGGCACAAGAACCACCAGGCCCGGGGAAGACTTGGTGCTTTTCCAAAGGACGCGTTTTCTGCTTTCCCCTCCCACCCCTATCTGCGTTAAATGATTTCTGCGGAACCCCTGCCCTGGAAGATATCTCTCGGGATGGTAGTCTCCTCCCCAGGAAGTTTGGGCGACCATCCCCCAGCACTTGTACCTTTTGGGAAGATCCTGAACCTCAAATGAAAACACAGCTTCTTTTGGATGGTATCAAAGGGAACCCTAGGTAAGCCCTCCATGCAAAAGAGGCGGGGGTTCTAAACTCTAGCCAACATCCATGCCCTTCTTCGAAGTTTCTAGCAGACCTCACGTGGGTGATCCAAATTTGCCCCTAAAAGCTGGATTTGCCCTTCTTGTTCCCCTTTGAACAGGAGTACAATATACTCTCCAATTTGGGGACCAACCCACCTCTGATTCGCATTCTTTGTTCTTTGTTGGACTCCGTGACGGCATGGCCCGTACATCAACACCATCAACCAAAGGGATCACCCAATCTGAGTTTGAGACAAAATGACCCACCGCGGTCCCCTGAGTCCTCAATTTTCAGGGCCCCCGCAATTGGCGACACGTAAATCCCGATGCTTTTCTTAAGTCCACCAGAGGGTCCCCAATCAGAAGGTTGTGTCTTCCCAAGAATGGGCGTCCATTTGGTTTGAATGTAAAACAACCCCAAGATGGGAGGGAAAGCTGACCTCCAGCCACCCTTTTTCACATGAGACCCAAAACGCATCGCGCGAGGCTGCCGAGTGTCACGCCGGTGCTGGTCTTCGGCCCCGGCGGCAGGCGGGCGCTGCGGTGCCGCCTGCCGGGGCCCCCCATGGCCTTCGCGGCGCAGCGGGTGAGCGAGGCCTCGGAAACGCCGGATGAGGACGGATGGATTTGCCAAACGCGCAGAGGTTTAGAGGTTTGGGTAGGGGGCATGGTGGATACAATAGGATCAATTCTGCAACCGCCTTCTTTAGGGCCTTGTTTTTGGAGTTGGGGTCTGGGGTTCACAAAGAGGTGGACAACTTGAGACAGGGCGCCCTTGACTTGGCTCCTGGAACGGTCTCAAAAGGCAACAAAAAGGCACCCCCCTTTTTGAGCAAGCCAAATTTGGCTCAATCACCAGACAGTAATTGGTGGACTGACGATCAGGCAAGGTGGAGCTGTCCAAATGCTTGCGAGGTTCGGAGTGATCCGGAAGAATAGTTCTGAGTTTGGTTGCCCGAAAATGGTTTGGAACCTGGGAGCGAAAACATGGTTCGCAATGTGGGCTGGCTCGGAAATGTGAAGCCGGAAAACGGCTTGGAGTTTGGAGCCTGAAAAGTGTTTGGAGAATGTGGTAGCCTGGAACATGACTTGAAAGGTCGAGTAAGGTTCCTTGGTGAGAATCTATGCGTAACACTATGAGTTGCTGCGTGGGCAGCGATGATGTGAGGGATATCAGGGGTCTGCCTTTTCGAGGACCCCTGTTTTGAACACGCAGCTTGAAGTGATGGGGGTGATTAAAAGTCTGTTTCGAAGGACGCAAAGATGCTGGCGATCTACCACGAGGTGGCGAATTGCCCCCCGAGTGAGCTGGTTGGGTCAAGGTTTTAGCGAGATGTTTGCTTTCTCTTGAAATGCCTAGATTATGTACGGGGACACACGGACAGGTCAGAAATTTGGCCATGCCAACAGCAGGATAAGCCTCACAACCGGATGTCCCCAACCAAGTGATGTTTTCCAGGGCCACAGGCAACTGAAAAGATCCAAATATCAGGTGCGGCTTTGTCAAAAAGTGGCCCCCAAAGATGATTGGTTTCTCTTTGGTGTCCCCTTGAATACCAGGACGAGGGTCGCCACCTTGGTGGTGATCAGTATGGTTAGCAGTCCTTTCAAAAAGTTGGAGAAGCTGAATTCTGACCAGCTACTAGGTGCGCGGCGCGTATTCGGCCGTGGTGAAATATGACAATTCCGAAGGTGCTGTTGCAAGAGAGAAACTCCATATATCCTTGAATTCCACTGGGTTTGTTGTCGCAGAGACTTCAAAGTGTATTCGGAACATGTTCCGCCCCCCATGTGTCGGCGCCGGACAACTTCTTCGCAGGCGCACATTGTTTAGGCCCAAACGGCCGCCAGCGTTTGCGTGAGCTGCAATTGTTTTGGTGTCATCAGGTCACACGCCATGATCGTCCCTGACAATAATCCATGATGATGCGAAACCTATGCATTCCACAGTGAGGTTGTTCAACAGGGCATAAGGTGGGTTGTCAAATCGATCCGCCATCATCCACTGCTCAGGCCAAAATGGCCGCAAGCTTATTCAGGAACTCCGATGGCTTTGGCGCCCCAAGACGACATCGCCAGCTCCATTGGTTGACATAATCTTTGATGATCGGATTCAGGGCCCCTTTCAACTTCAGATTAAGCGTGCATGGCAGGGATCTCTTCACGCGACGCCACTGCCGGTCGAGGCACTGAGTGCCAGTTCAACTTCTGAACCCAGAAACTGTTCTGGTGGCAGACCGCGTAGCAAGGGATTCCTTCTCCTTGCAAAGCGCTTTCCACGAGGTGTTCCCGTCAGAGAACACTGTCGTGGCCCTGCCCTTGTAGGTCTTCTTGATCTTCTGCATGATGCACCACTGGCAAGTTGCCCCGCAGTCCTTCATCCCCTAAACTTTCCATGCGTGTCCTGAGAACATAAAAAGTCGCCCCGACCTGCCCCGACAAAGGCTGGGCTGCCCTTGCCTTGACAGCTGCAAACAAAGACTCAGAGTGACGTGCTAGCCATTCGAAGTCAACCCCTGTTCGCCTGCCATATGACCACTCCTGCATCACCACCGCGCTTACAATGCCCGCAGCGAGGCAATCCCTCGAATGTCTTTGGCCCAAAACTTGAACAGCTCAGGGCAAAGGGATGGAGGAGGGCATCCCGCGACGCGCGACAACAGCACGTGCACAAGCAGCCATGCCGCTTGTGCCGGGGAAAGCATGCCTGTGAGACTGGTATATGGCTCCACAGTTGGACCATAATATTATCATCCCCCCCACCCCCCCACCCCCCCACCCCAGCGTAGCGCATTCGGCCGAAGCAAAACCACAAAAACATGTGTTTTGTACCACGGCCGAATACGCGCCGCTTTCCAACTACTAGGGCCTAAACAATTAGAATGGGGTTGTGGGTTACTACAAAACCAAAACACCTCTGATCATGGAGAGGAGGGTTGCAAGTAACCATTTGGCCGCGGATCTTGCGAGCTTTTACAGGCCATCCAGAAGGCCGCGGATCGGGCGGAGCGCGTGTTCCTGCGGCCCGGGGATGCCCTGGTGGTGGACAACTATCGGATGTTCCACGGGCGTGACCCCTACACTGACCCCAGGCCTTACACTTGTGCTTTTCTTGTCTTGCCGATCCCTGTTTTAGGCTTAGAGGGGCAACATGCGAGTGACGGGGAGGCCTTGCTCTTGGCAGCTACAGATCTTTTTCTTGTGTATCTGTGAGAGATCGAATTGGAAGACCCTGCAAAGGCGCGTTGGTCGGGGCACTCGGGGTACCTCGCGTTGTGTTAGGCACAGCTCCCATGAGAAGCTGCTCCCTTCGGATTGTGCGACTTTGCCTCACCCTTGGCAAGGAGCTTCAGTCGCACATGTGTTGTTTGGCTACGAGCACGGTGCCCTATCCTGTTGAAGTTCCATCTCCCATACAGGCGCCTGCTGTGGCGGTGCTGGATCTGGACAACGGCCTCCCGCGGGCTGCCGGAGGTAGGGTTGGTTGCAAGATTTGTTTGAATCACCACTCCCTTCTCCGTTCTAAGCGACACCTAGAAGTATGTTTCTCAACCATAGCGGTCCTTAAGAGTAATTAAAAGCTGCTTCGCTTGGAGTGATTATGGTTCGCAATGGTGGTCTTCAACATGTTTCCACAAGGGGGTGAATGGCCATCCGGGAGGTTCCGGAAAATGAGCTGCAGTCCACTCCGGGCAACGCCGCCGGCATTGTGCAGCCGGATGAGGGGCCCAGCAAGCGCCAGAGAGGGGAGTAAAAGGCAAAGTGCGTTTGAGATGAGGGGGATGGGGTCAAAGGGGAGTGGAGTGTGTTTGCATTTCTGGCGCATTTCTGGCGACTGTTGATGGGTATAGCTTCTTCCCAATTCCCAGCCGTGGCAAGGGCTGGCGACGTCGTCGTTGATCAGATATTGCAGACGTTCGAACTGCAGCTCGAAACTCGCTCATGTTCCTGCCCTGGGAGGGGTTCAGACAGGAAGCCGCAAGGCGAGTGCGAGATGTGCATATGTTCGGCAGGAAATGAATGACTTCATGATCCGAGCATTTTGAGATAGCACATCTTGAGAGTCATCCTTCAGACGCTTCACGCAAGAGAATGCAAGATGTGAGATAAGTCTGGAATGCACACACACACACACAATAAGTTTTCCTGGACAGCCTTGTATAGACTCTCCATGACTGGTCTTGAATCAAGATCTTCTGTTTTCGGAGACTCGTAGAACCCACTTCGAAGCTAGAGATGTGTGCTCCTGCATAGCCTTCGCTGAAGCATCTCTCTCTCTCTCTCACCCAACGGAAGATCAGCCAATGCTTCTGAAGCCCTTGCGGTCAACATTGAGTGCTGACAAGGGCGCCCGCATGCGCCGCGGCTGAGGCCAAGACAAAGCAGTTCCGACGCGAGCTGACCAAGCCCCCACCTTACGCATGCAAACACGCTGACGCTTTCAGCATGTTTCATACGTGCCTTCGTGTGCAGCATGCAACTGGTGCAGCCTGGACCAATTCGATACATGTGGTGCGGGTCACCCGAGGTCTGACCAGTACTTCAAGTTTGGCAGGACGCGCCTGCACCTCACCTTTACGGTTATTTGGCTTGCGAGCACCCAATGTGTCTGGCAAGAGCAAAATTGGCGCGTTCTCTCTTTCTCTCTTCCTCTCTTTGTTGTTTTGTTTCTCTCTCTTTCTCTCTTGCTCCCCCTCTTTCTCTCGTTCTCTTTTTTTTGCTTTTCCTCTCCCTTTCTCCCGTTCTCCCTTTCTCGCTTTTTGGGCTTTTCTTCTTTCTTTCTTTCTTTCTTCCTTTCTCTCTTTCGTTGATTCTTTCTTTCTTTCTTTCTTTCTTTCTTTCTTTCTTTCTTTCTTTCTTTCTTTCTTTCTTTCTTTCTTTCTTTCTTTCTTTCTTTCTTTCTTTCTTTCTCTCTCTCTCTCTCTCTTTCTCTCTTTCCTTTTTTTCTGTTTCCTGTTTTCTGTCTTCCTTCCGATTTGGCTCAGGTTTCTCATGCATTGACTACTGCAGTGCTTGTCAGAGTCAGAACAGAGACATCCAGGCGATCCTTCTTGCCACCAAACACGGGGGGTGTAAGTGTCAACTGCTCGGGCAGGACGCAGATGGAGGGTGCCATGGAGAACTTGAAGTCTGCCAAGCGCCCAGCTTTCCGTCTCGGGTGCTGGTAAGCAGAAGCCGTGGTTAAGCTTGGTTGGGGGTGTTCCATTTTGGCAATCCGGAATACTGTTCCTGGTTGAAGTTGATTGGGCTGGAGTCCCTCCCTCCATATCCCTGTGGTATCCGCAAAAGTGAACGTGTAATTGGAACCCAGCACAACTTTTGATTTTGGGCCACTTCTGGTCCAGGATTGGACCGCGGTGGGAATCTTGGTGGATCTTTCACCCGTTCGATCTGTTGGAACCACAGGATGTTCATTCCAACCTCGAACAAGCGATCTTGTTCTGGCTCGTTGGTCCAAAATGCGTATACCAGTACTGTTTTTTTGGTTCCAATGTTAAGTTGATTTTGGAGCCCCGGTCCAAAGCCCCGCTGCAAGCCGCTGCCTTCAGGTCAGCGGCAGCGAGCTGCTGACCAAGGCCATGGGAGGGGACAGGTGCTTGACACTAGACCCGGGCCTTGGAGATCCAAAGGGAGAAGTAGGTTGAAGGAACGATCGACTTGAACATGTTTTAGGAGGTTGGTGGTTAGTTTGCATTTGGCCCAGCCAAAGTCGGGTTCCTTGTTGTTGGAACACCCTGAAGATGGTCGGTGATTGCATAAACCCCCATGTTGCAGGTGTCCAGGGTCCCCTATTGAAGCCCGTTCCTAGTTGGAATCCACAAGAAACGAACCCTCCGAATCTCAAGGTCAGGATCCTCAGAGCTTTGTGTAACGTCATTCACCAGCGCTTCCAGGCCAGACGCCTCTCGAGTCAGCTTCTCTACCCGGTCCATGTTTCTCAATCCGCCCAAAACCGAGACGTCCCCATGTCCACTGCCCCTACATGGAGTGTTCTCTAACGTCGGGGACCCCTGCAAATGTTTGGTTTTGCAGGCTGTTTCAGTGTCAAATCGGCTACAGGGGACATGCCGTGTGGGAGATGCCTACTTCGTTGGAACATGTCAGCGGATGTCAAAGCTCTTGCTGGCTGCTTAGTGTAGGGGCTTCTGCTGGCCGTGCTATTGAGCCGGATTCTAGCATTCAAAGGGAATCTTCATGACCTTGTCACCAGCCAATCCCAACTGCCAATCCCAACTGCCGTGTGGTGGCCGCTCGAGCAGTTGCTGGTCATGTGCTCACTCTCGCGTGTGTAATTGTAGTGAGGCTGCGCGACCCCCTCCTTTTGCTTCCACATTTTCAGATGAGTTCGAAGGTCTTTTCGTGGGTGTGCCCTGTTTCGACTTGTTCCCTGCATTTGCAGGCTTTTCATTTTGAAACTAACCTTTGACTGGATCCATCTCTCAGAATCCTTCATATCGCTTTCACTTGTCTCCCTCCAAAACCATACAAACAAGCAGAGAAAACGCAACAAGCAGAACGCAAGCACATCACACAACAAGCGACACCAACACTAAAAGTAAGACAACAACAAACAACAAACAAACAAAAAACAAGCAAGCAAGCAAGCAAGCAAGCAAACAAGCAAGCAAGCAAACAAACAAACAAGAACCACTATTTCCAAGTCTTCCATCGCACGGGCCGCTTTTCTCGCAGATCCGTGAGAACGGCTTCCGCCTCACGGCGCCTTGGGTTGAAGTTAGCTCGGTCGCCGTGTCGAATGTGGAGGCCCTTCTGCAAACTGAGATGGGGGCGAGTCTCCTTCGCTTTTTGGAGTTGGTACCCGTTTTATTGGGGGGGGAAGCCAAAGACCTATTTTAGACATGACCCCTGCAGACATGCCCCAAAAAAGCCTTATTGGTTTACACAAATTGCCCTAGATCCCCCATGGGCTTGCCATCAACCAGCAAAGCGTTCTTAAGTAACGCTCAGAACGCTTGTAGCCGTTGCAACCCTTGGAAGGATCAAGATGGTTGGGGCAATGGTCTGAAGCGAGTTTCAACATCAACCTTCCTGGCTTCAGCTCCGCCGCCCAAGATTTTCAGAGTTCCACCGGACGCCTGACAAAATGCAATCTCCAAACGCATGCTCAGAACCACCCCGGCCCCCGGAAATATGCATCCACCCCCTGGCAATGTCGCGTCGGAAGGTAGCCTTCTGAGGCCCCATACGCCTTGGGATTTGGGACCCAAGGATTCCAAGGTTCGTAACGGACTCCCTCAAGTGGCAAACCGAGAAGAGTCCGCAGTTACGCCGAATCTAATGCCGGGCCTTTGGGAAGCCAGTGACTTTGGTTTCATAGCACCCACCCCCTCCCCCAGCCCGACAGTTTTTCCCCCAAAATGAGACCTCAAGGCATTGGAAAAACGGACTTTGGAGGAAACCAGCGGTTTGGATCCCATTTACCGAGGTGGGAGACATCACTTTTGTGCTTGCAGAGCCAGGCCCTGAGAAACTCGAGGGTTGCCCGCCCAGAGCTTTATTACGACAACCATTTGTACGTCGTAGGGGCATCGCGGCATCCTGAAACTGAAACATATTGAAGTCTAAGCCTTGTCTAAGATCTGGTTGTCACCTGAGCCTTAAACAATTGGTGGCCGTGGTAAACGTCACGATCGCCTGCAGACACTGTCCACCTCATCAGCTCCGCGGCAACTGGTTCATGTTGCTGTGCTGTTTGGTATCATGGGCCAGTTACGCGCAAAGACTGGTCGCCGAATCTGACGGTTTCCTTGGGCGCCAGACGCAGTTTGCAATCCTTTTTCGGGCATTGCACTGTGATGTACCAATGCTCCCTGTCAGTCTGCACCTTGTTGGCCTTGACACTCAGTGGCCAGCTTTGCACTCCCATTCTCCTTTTGATTGTACCATAGATGTCCGCTTCCTTGCTTGTGCACCTGAGAGCACACGGGCTGGTCCAGTGAAGTAGCAGAGTTGGTTGCCAGGCAATCGGCTCAGGTCCTACGGTTTCTGCTGGGGCGTGGAGCGGGCCGTGGCTATGGCCTACGAGGATCGGGATGCGAGGTACGTTGGTGCGCGGCCTCTCAGCTTGGCCTAGAAGGTCCGTTCATCTGGGTTTGTCTTCAAAGAGAGGAAGCCCCGAACCAGGTGGAACCTGAGAGCCATGAAACGAAAAGGAGAACCTTCCGCACATTTCTCGAAGGGGTCTGCGGAAGGCCCGGGACTTCTTTCCGGAGAAGAACATTTGGGTCACGCCGGGGCCCTGCAGGAGTTGGAGTCCCCACGTGTCAGTTTGGGCTGTCGGGATGGCTGATGGCTGGTGGTTGGGGTGCCGTGTTGGTCACTTTTTGGAAGAGAGAAGGGGCGGAGTAGATGATGCTACCCGACAGCTCGTCAGAGGTTTCCAAATTCCCAAAGCTCAGATCGGCGCATGAGCTGTGCCCCCGACGCTGCCACCAATCGCACGGCCTGAGGAACGAGATCATCCACAACCCCTCTGCAGGGCCCTTGGGACGTGGAAAGTCTGTCTCGGGAGCAGTGTTAAAAAGAGAGGTGTGCCTTGGGTAAAGGTATTCCAGGGATTTCTTGGAACCCTGACTGTGCTTCCACAGAGCTCGCAGCTGCACGAACAAGCGGCCGCTGACTTAAGCTTGAGCTTTTGCCACACCGGGCCCACTCCAAAACATGCGCAGCTTTCGTGTGCAGTCACACACACACACACAAAGTCAGAAGCACAAGCAGATTATATCAGGATAC